TTTTTTGGGTGTACTAATCTGAATATATTGATAGCTTTTCCATGTTCGTATACTTGTACATCTTGAGGGTGTGGGATGGATGGATGAGAGCGTGGATGAAAGTGTGAGTGAGAGTGAAAAGGATAGTACCCACCCCCACACTCATCCTCACGCCCTCAAGAGTCCTGAACGAGTCCGAGTCTGACCGAGCCGCAGTATGGCCAAGCCCGAGCCCGAAGCCGAGAGGCTCAGTCAGGGCTCGGGCTCGATACATCCTTAGCTTGGACATTTTTTCAGTTTTCATTTATGTCTACAATTAATAACTTCGACATATAAAATCCAAGCAAAAAAAGACTTATACGCGTCATATGTGTTTATAGCGCGTGCAAACTGAAACATGAACTGTTAGTCAAATCTGGATCTCTAACCAAAATTCAAACTGGGTGTAGATGTGAGTATAAGATAAATACAATAATCACACCCACGCTCACCCACACCCACGCTCACCCACACCCACCCACACCCACACCCCACCCCACACCACACCCACACCCACACCCACACCCGCACCCACGCTCAATAATACCGACACCCACGCTCAATCATACCAACACCTACACCCACACCCACGCTTAATCATACCGACACCCACACCTACGCTCATTCAGACCGACACCCACACCCAGGCTCAATAATACCGACACCCACGCTCACACCTACATCCAGACCCACGCTCATTCATACCGACACCCACACTCACACCTACACCCACAACCACACCCAAGCTCAATCATACCGACACCCACTCCCTGATATCTGGCTCAGCATATATTTCACTGTTCGAGAACACCTGCCCTTGGTTAGTCTTACAAATATTTTTAGTTATTTCTTTATTTTGCTACCTATTCGTTAATGACGGCTTTGCATAATAAATTTTCATTTTTATAGTAAACTATTCTTGTGACTTTTGAAGTAATCAAAAATAAATATTACACTCTTCAAAAGGTTGATTCTTTGAACGATGAATCTCAAGACCTTGTTTCATTGCTTTATTCGAAAAGTATTCGGTTATAATCTCTTTATGCTCGAAGAAGATGATTATGATGACGATGATGAACTGCAAGATCCAGCAATTGTTCTTAAACACCAAAAATATAAAACTTGGCTATACGTTCTTCTACTCGTGGGTAAGTCACATACACGTTTTTCGATTTTTAAACGCATATTTATGTTTGAATCGGTGACTGATTTTCTACTTCTTCTTCTTCTACAAACTTATTCGAATTGTTTGAAGCATATTAATGTAGTTTATTTTCCATGGTTACCAATTTTAGACAAATTTATGAGAAAAACTATTAGAAAAGTAGAAATCGGATATTTACTCTAATATTGTTGAAAATAGAGTGGTGGTTGGTAGGAGATGAGTATAATAATCTGATCTATAAACGCACACACATAGATTCACATCTTCCTAAATATTATTCTGGAAGTTCTTCTATGGAAATGATAGTATATATCCCGAAGATAACACCTTTTACTAAAAAAGCTCGAGCTTTATATCAGAAATAATTAAAGTCGAAAGCTAAAGCAGAATAGTCAGTATGACTATCAAGAGTGTCTAGAGTACATTAACAAATATAAGTGAACTAGATGTTAGTTGAAATTTATTATTTTTCTTAGCCTTAAATAAAATGCATAGTCGACTTGTAAACGCTTGGAAAGAGTTGATCTAGTATTTTATTTTAATCAAGAGTAATTGGGAAACTTTGTATACAAAACATAATCTTCTTTTGTCTCACTATTGATTCTTAAGGTCGACAACTTTCGTTGATCATACGAACAAATTGAGAATCAAATATATCTAAAATAATACTATTTAGTCGTAGGAAACGTTAAATATCATTTTTATGTGATTAATCTTTTCCTGAATATTTGTAACCATATCAAACGTAAGTAGTTGCATAGTTTTTCTTATTTATTTCAGTGTCTTTATATATGATTTTCTACGCTGCTATGATGCAAACAGAATCTTCAACAGTTACTGAGTCTAATATTACACCTGTCAAATTCAAGGAACTTTACTCTAAATATAACAAAACTCTTTCATGCCCATGTTCAACAACCAGCATAACTTATAAAAATTTTGTTTCTAATACAATCAAACTTCATCCTGTTTGTTCAAGTCGTTTCGTTAGTCAAGAATGGATTCATGCATTATATTTATCAAATGCAAGTCGATATGGAGTGTCGGATTTTCGAACAACAGCTAGTTCTCAGGTAGGTTGAAATTAGCTACTCAAAAAAAATTATTGAGCTAATTGTCGTACAGTTTCTCATAAGAGATTTAATATTCTAGTTTCAGAATTAATTTATATGAGGACAAATAAAAGAATTTACCTCATTCAAAAATAGGAAATATTGCATCTTAAAAAGCTGAATACTGTGTCCAGAAAAGATGAATTCAGGCACACGCTCATCTCATTCTTACCTTTCCTTCCTACATCCACTTTTAAGATTAATTTTGTTTTAATTTAGTTTGAAATTTTGTCCAGTTTTTGTTCATTGGCTCAAGACATAGTTAATCATACTAAAAATGATGTTGGTAGTAATGAATTTGTTACTATTTATCTTCTTCCTGACAAACAAGTTGAGCACGAAGTGAATACTATCATTGAATCTTACAAGAAAGGTGCATCTGCTCGAATGATTACGTTCTTGGACTATTTTCGATCAACTATTCGAGCAAACTATTTAATTTCAGCTCTTAATACGAATTTATTAGTTACATTAGTACACCATTTAATCGCGGGTACGATGTTTAGTCTATTATCAACGGAGTACACTCATGCATCTGGAGACATATTAACCTGTGGCACACATAATCTGTTTATTGCGGCTACTCTTAATCCAGTAATAGATGAATCTAACAGTGTCTTTGGAAGATTTCACTTTAAGAATCTACCAAATTCTACAATTGTTAGTGGATTCTTCGGAGCATGTATTCCTCTTGAAGCTCTTCTTCAAAGTACACTTGATTGTTTATATGAAATCGAATGTTTGGAATTATTGTCCGATTATTTTCCATCTTTGAACGATGTATGTATGAGACTATCTTAACTTTCATATATATTCGTTTTATTTAGTTGCACATCAATTGGACAAACTCTACTCTAATTTCGAAGCAACAAAATCTTTCTTTTAATGATTATTTGAATGATCTCTTGATTGACGAATGGTTACCAAAACCAAATTATTCAAAGTATTTTGATCATTGTAATCCTTCATTCTGCACATACACAAAAACACATCAAGCTGAATTTATTTATGCCATTACGCTTTTCATTAGTCTCTATGGTGGTCTCGTGATGATACTTCGTTTAATGGCATCGTTTATAATGAATATCTCATTGAAAGTGAGATATCGTGTAAGAAACATAAATGTCAATTTCGGTATGTTTTAAAATAAATAAAAAAATATTTCATAGTAAATAAAATTTATATTTAATTCATAGTGCATCAAAACATGCGTTTGAGCAGATTTACTCAATGGATGAAACGATTAAACTTATTTAAGAAGGCCAATGATCGAACAGAAAACAGTATTAAACAACAAAAGATTACCACATATGTCTATTTGATTTTACTAACTGGTATAGTTATATTTTACTGTACATAACTTTGTTTTTTGTTGAGTACATATATACTACAGTAGAAAGTTATATTCAGATGCCAAAATAATTAGTAAGTGAATGTTGGTTCTCAGATATCTGGATATTAAAAAACATATACAGGCTATTTCTCTTGACAATAGTTGAACATTTGAACTGCAAATATTGATTTATTTAATACTTGATTTTCTCAATGAAATTACGAGAATTAAATACATTTTTCATGTGTAATACTACTGATTCTTCTAGAAGATATTGAAATCTATGTTAATGAACTTCTCAAATTCCTCATTGAATGTCTTTTATCATTAATAAATGATAAATTTCTATTGTTCAATTTTTGTCAAGATCCTTTAATCGAAGACATACTTATAATAACATGTTCATTTTTCTGTTTTTCTCATTAGTCTCTGTTATTATTCTTCTTCTCTTCACTGCATTGAGTACTCAAACAGTTACAAAGCTTATTCCAAATCCATCATTCAATACTTATAAAGACTTACAAATTTTGCATTATACTACACTCACTTGTCCTTGTTCAACCCAAGCAATCTCGTATCGTTCATTCGTTTTATTATCTCCAACCTTACATCAAGTATGTTCAAGTATTTTTATTACTGATGATTGGTCTTCAATATGGAAACAAAGCGCGAGTTTCAACCGGTATGATGATTGGCGTAAGCAAGCTTTGCCACAGTTTCGATTGTTGTCCGATCTTTGTTATCTAGCTAATAAAACGATTCATGACTCTGTCGACCGTTTTTTGACGCAATTCTTCATCGCTTCAACTGTACTCAATGAAAGCGATTTCAATACGCAACTAAATGAAACTCTTAAGCAATTTTATGAATCGACGATTTTTTACTTTAATCTCCAAAACGATCTTGTGCGCTTTGTTATACAGATCGATCAGCCTTATATGATACCAGCTATGCTTCATAATTTTGTCACGAGTACTAATCTAATTATGAACGATATTGGAGATGAAAAGAGCAATCAACATTTAGTACCGGTATGTTAATATTCAGAATAATAAAATCTTTTATTTCTTTTGACGAATCGTAATATGTTATCGAATTCCAATCGACTTCGACGAGAAACTCAGCAATATAGTTATAAAAGTTTTCTCTCTTTGTTAGAAATCTATTATTTTTTGTTGACACTAACAGTTAGGTTGGAAACGTCAAACATAAACAACAGAAGTAAGCAAAACTGTGTGCAGTTAAAACGTACTAGAGCAATTGATAACTAACAGATGAATTATCGTATACAATAAATTCATTCAAACATTATTCTATGTAGAGAACATATAAGACAATATTCATATGGCACTTTTTGTGTACTCAAAAAGTGAGTACACTTCTAGAATCGGTCAGTGTGGCCGGCCGTCCGTCCGTCCGGCCGTATACACGATAACGTTTGAGAGGCTCATCCGATTGAGCTGAAATTTTGTGCACAGAACTGTCTCATTAAGATCTCGGTCGAGTTCGAAGATGAGCAGAATTGGCCGAGCCATTCCTGGGTTATTGCAAAAATACTGATATTTTTCTATATTTTTTTGGGGGGAATAATACTATAATGCCGTTTTCGTCAGCAATTTTTCTACCAGAGTCAAATAAAATTCCACTTATTATATACCATTCGATAGAGAATTTCACGAGCTACAATATGGTACTAAATTATAGGGGTAAATAGGTTGCACACAAGATTTCCTTTGTACGATAGGGTAGGTAAATTATAGAAAACTCACATATGTTGACAATGTGTCAGTGCGATATTTGTTTGTTTTTCGTATTATCAATAATATTTTTTTAGAGTAGATAGAATTCATCAAGAGCTGTAAAATGATGTAAAATAATAGGGGGTGGATATGCTGCGTTCGATATGTCTTCAGTACCACACTTGCGAAAAACCGTGAAAAAGTCATATATCTTAATAGTGTGTCTGTGTGATATTTGTTTGTTCTCCATAGAGTGAACGTTATTTTTATGTACTCGAAAAATGAAGTTCACGATAGATTGATTTTGATCAATCTGCTTAAAAAAATTCATCCTTGAGCGCACTAAGGAACTGCTCCATAGGCCCTGCGGATGCCCTCTTTTTATCCCGTAGGACGCGGCGAGGAGTTAGTTCCGGAGGATTTATTCATTCGCATAAATAAAAACTTCTTTGCTTTAGCTAAATCGTGTTACTTTTTATAAACTCATGTTAATTATATCAAAGTGTGGTACAAATTGTTGAGAATTATTTCGAAAAGGTAAAAGAGCATCATAATGAATACCATTATAGTAAATACAAAATCCTAGTTTATTCATATCAGATTTGTATCCTATATATTTTAAATGACCACCACCTGTCCCTTCAAATTGAATCTACGATAATATTCATTTATTCATTTGAATTCGATTATGAAAATAACGTATTTATATTCATAAACGTTTTTTTATAATCTTAACAAAATTATGTCATATGATCATTATTACTATAGATATTTTCATTTGTGTGTACTCAAAAAGTGAATACATTCTAGAATCGGTCAGTGTGTCCGTCCGTCCGTATACACGATAACTTGAGAAAGGAGAGGCAGATTTTGATGAAATTTTCTACACAATTCAGTCTCATCAAAATCTTGGTCGAGTTTAAAGTTGAGCCTAACTGGACGAGTCATTCTCGAGTTACTGCAAAAATACTGATATTTTCCTATGATTTCCATATATACTTTTTGCTGTACACATAACTCTCGGATAAAATCCGAAGTTTTCGCATTTATTTATATAAATATTCTATGATATATGTTGCTACATGTTTTTCTTATATACTCTAATTTCTTTTCAACATAATCACTTCAAATAAGAGATAGGAATCGATTTAAGTGTGTGATGGTATCAGAATATTGAATGGATTGATTGAGTCAACCTATAGGAAAAGTTAGCCTATGAGCTGTCGAATGATAAGTTCATCCGATCTGACTCTCAATATTTAACTTACCGAGACAAACGAGTAGAGTAAAAACAATGTCTATGAAGCCGTTTTTCGAGAACACATTTATCTATATCTAAAAGAGTGGAATAATATAATATTAGAATATCAACTAATAATTCATCGTATATAATCACTACTATACTTTTCACAAGTCTTTTTCATATGAAAGATGTGCTAACTAGTTTTTTTTCTTGGAAAACTTTCCATTACTAAGATAGAGGAGTATTAATCACTTAATATTAATTGATAGTAGAACATAGATTTCTCTTTATTTTTCTAGGTATCATTTATTTTGCCTGGAATTCAAATCAATTCGACATCGATCAACTGTGTTTGTGCCACTAATCCGGATTGTCAAACTGCGGCTGTCGTTTACAACGATAATATTATTCATAAAATACCAGGTTTTATTAGAGGCTGTCTTGCTAGTGATTCTCTTCTAGGATCAACTCTGCAATGTTTATATTCAGAATCAAATTCAGGTTCAGATTGTTTTGTAAATCTACTGACTTACTCATCAAATTCTGACTGGACGCTTAAACTAAATGGACCCATGTTTGATTTGCGTCCTCTTGTTTATGACTCAGAACGGAGTCGTTTTCCTCCAACTACTTTAATATCATCTATTATCAAAGAAATGATGGTGGAACAATGGAATTCAACTCCGTCGTATGAACAGTTTTACGAATCATGTGCACCAAAGTATTGTACTTATCATCAGAAAATTCGTACGAAGACTATTGTAGGAATATTTATGACATTGTTGTCCACGATCGGTGGTCTTGCTGCTTCTCTACATCTTATCACTCCTTATTTTATCAAATTTCTCTTCAAATTATGGGCAATGATACGTAAAAGAAAACAAGAACAACAAGAACAACAACAAGGTAATCATTGATAATATATCTATAAAAATAAGTACGGAGTAAATATATTTATATAACAACGATTTATGTTTTATATGATATATTTTGTATAAAATGAGAAGAAAAGTAAGAAAAATTGATGTATCATCTAACATGATACTTTACTATTGATTATTAAAAAGATTTAAGAATTGATAGTTCAATAAAATTCAAACAGTTCAAGACTTTTGTCGCTAGAAGAGATATATCTTTATAGTGCTAGGAAATCGAAGAGAGTCAAAAAAAAATAGACTATAGGTGAGTAAAAGTCAATAAGAGTCGGATGTGGGTGTCAATGAAATCGAATGACTACGCACCCACACCCACACCCAACATGTAAATTTTTTTCAACCATCTTTTTCGGTTGAGAAATAGTAAACTTTATATCAACGAAGAAAATGTATAATTTGTTTTTGTGTGTATAGTTCATCAAAATTGGTGCGATCGATTCAGAATTACTATGCGAAGTCTGATTAAACTTTTGCGTACCACTTTGATCGATCTAAACATATTCTCATTACGTGATATGGGTAGTGGTATGGATCGAATAATAGCTAAACGTCTTGGTCAATGGGCGACCCGTCTCTACATTGCTTTATTCATCGGTGGTCTTAGTATCCTCACCATCTATACCGTAGTTCAACCACAAGTAGTGACAAAGACTTTCAATAAACCATCTTTTAGGTTTTACAATGATTCAAGACAAAAATATGGAGATGAATTAAAATGTCCATGCTCAGTGATTGCATCGACTTATGATCAGTTTATCGAAATTGAACCAATATTTCATGCGGTTAGTTAAGATTATACTAATCTGCTCAATATAAACGATAGTTGATATAGTGGCGGTTCTTCTCTTCGTCTCTATTATAAATCTTGACAACCGAAATGAATAATATCTTTAATAAATATGTTGATAGTTGACTGAAAAAAGGAGGTTTATTTTATGAGAATGTTTTTGTGGACGCTTTATATAGAAATTGAGAATATAGTTTTTCCCTCTTTTTATTTCTTTTGTTATTTATAGATTTGTATGAGTCCATTTGCAACAAAACAATACCGAAATGATCTTATATCTGGTCTTATCTCTAACTTGTCTATTTATGTATCAAGAGACTATCGTCGTTTTCTTTCTGCTCATTTACAAGCTCTTCAAGGACTATGTCAACTCTCTAATACATCAGTATACGATTCTATTAACCAGTTTCGTACCTCACTATTTGTTACTTCTCAACTTCTATCTGAAACAAATTTTCGTGATCAACTTGATTCGTTAATCGAACAAACCAAATCAAATGTACCTACTACATTCCGTCAACTTCTCTTCTTAATTCGAAATATCAATCATGGAAATGCTTACATGTCAACATATACAACAAATTTCGAATATATTGGTGTTCCGAATTCACGTAAATATACTTATGCGTCTACTCGAGCTATAATTTATGACGGGTGTTCTTGTGGATTGTATTTAAATTGTACAAGTCAAGCAAATTTTATTAAATCAAATTCATCTGAAATAACTCCAATTAAAGGTTTGAAAATTGGTTGTACTCCAAGCGAATCATTTCGTGCTTCGACTCTTGAATGTTTTTATGATCGTTCATGTATTGATCTCGTTCATAAATATACTAATTATACGAAATCTCATAATCCTCTCTTGGCCAATAGGAGTCGCTTCTCAATAAACACTACAATAGCTGTACTTATCGATAATCTATTCATCGAGAAATGGGAGACGAAGATGAATTATTCATCTTATTTTCATGCATGTTCTCTATCGTATTGTTCATATACTTATATTCAAAAAAAAAGCAGCTTTATCTATATAATAACTGTCTTACTTGGTCTTCAAGGTGGTTTAGCAATTGTTCTTAAATGGATTTGTCCTAAAATAGTTCGAATTGCATTTAGAGTAAATAATTATCGAAAAAAACGGATGAATACTATTCATCCTGTCAATTCTCTTGAAATAACACCAAATGTTACTCTTAGCACAACCATACATAATCCTGCTTCTAACTCAGAATCGAGACCGACATCTATAACATCTCGGTATGTTTTTGTTCTGTTGTATTCATTCAAATTGTAATCTAAAATATCTTTTTATTAGAACAATTGTCACTACATCAATTCGATGTTCTTGGAAGATCCTCCTCGGATGTCTACTATTGATTTCGATCATATTAGTTCTAACTATTTTTTCATTTTATGTCGCACGACAAGGTAAGCATAAAATTCCCTCACACGTGTAATTTATTTTGCCATGCAAAGTCACTTCGAATTCATTTCAAAACCTTAAATAAATTAATCTCAGGAAGACGAAATAAATGTAAATGTGATAGTCGTTGATTATTCTTGAGGGTGGGTGAGGATGTTGATGTGATCTATCAAAGAAAAATCACCCACATCTACCTCTAAATTGTTCTTTTATATGCAATTTTACTTTGAATTTTCTTAATATTTAAGCTAATAAATTTTTGTAAGAGAGCATTTATCAAATATATTTTTATTAGTTTCATCAGCCAGTGCAACAGTTGATACTAATTTGAACTCAACAATAAACACAACAACATCAACATTGTCAAGCACAACAGGTCAGTGAATTAAAGTGAAAAACTGACAAACTTCAGCTCTTATATAGTTGGAATTCTTATAGTCTGGTTATACAAGAAAAAGCGCTATTGTTACAAAACTCAGTGGATATCTTTTGACTATAGATTCACATAGAATTACTCGAAACTATTCACATTCGTTGTGACATCACTCGAATTGATCTTTTATCCTGTCTACTTTTCTATATTACAGTGATCGAAGCTAGATGATGAAAGTACAAGGCGAGGTTTCCTTCAGAGTTTGTACAAAATAAAATCGTCACGAACTTTCTGACTAGTGTGGACAACACTATATGTTTTATGTCTATAATAGTTAAATGAAACTATTTTTTAAATCTGAATAACCAGAAACTTATTCCTGTTCACAAGTTAAATTTTAACAAGTGTTTTGAAACTTGTTATTGCTGTAGAATAAAACTTCTCCGTCAAAATAATGGAAGTTACAACTTAGTTCTTATCTATAGTTTAGTAGTGTAATAATAGCTTTTGGTTCCCATTCCAGTGACTAGAATCGTCTGTTTCTCTCTCTTGATTAAATATGTCCAGATGAATTAAATCAAACGTAGTTAGTAGAGTATTCCTGCTATTCAATGATTGCTAAAACTAAAAATGTAATAGCTGTTCTAATATCAACTTGCATAAATATGTTTCCAGATACTTTTACGCTAAGAATACGAAAAAGTAATTTATTATTTTATTTTTAATAGCTCCACTTTGCAAGTTAGAATTTCGATCAATATCAATAAATATATCGGATATTGCTTACGGTGATATAATGTTTGCTGTTGCTGATTTCAACGATGACAGTCGGCTTGATATTATGGTTTTTTCTAACTATCACGAAAGTGTGATCATACTGTCTGGGAATGCTAACGGACGTTTTACAAAAGAAAATATTTTTCAAAAAGGAAGTTTTTTATGGATGACACATATGAAAGTTGGTGATTTCAATAATGATAATCGAGCCGATCTCGTATTCACCATTAGCGATGCAAACTATGTAAACATTCTATTTGGAAATAGTAACGGAACTTTTAGAGTCCGGAATATAATATTAGGGACAACGAAATGTATACCCGATGACATCGTTGTAGTCGACTTCAATCATGACAATTATTCAGATATTGCTGTCATTAATACTGTTAATTCTAATGTCTGTGTGTTTTTTGGAAATGCTAATGACACTTTTTCACCGCAGCTGATGTTTTCTACTGGATATCAAAGTGAGCCTGAATCATTGACTGTTAGTGACTTTAATAGCGATGGACACGTAGATATTGCTGTCACCAATAGTAGAGCTGTAAATGTTGGTATATTTCTTGGGTGCGGTAATGGAACTTTTGAAGTACAGAAGCGATCTTATACTTTCCTGGGTTCTGATCCACACCATAGTGTAAGCGGTGATTTTGACGGCGATGCTCAACCAGACGTCGTTGTCTCTGATGAACGCATAAACATAGTCACTGTGTTGTCTAAATATAGAAATGGATTTTTCACCGTCAAGAATAACTTTGTCATGAAATCTAATCGCATACCATCTACAGTTGTTGTAGGTGATTTTAATTGTGATGATCATTTAGACATTGCTGCTGCGGGTAGGCCATATGGTATAGATGTGCTACTTGGATATGGGGACGGCTATTTTGAGACGCAAAACATATTATCGGATAAGATGGTCCGTTATGGATCTGATATTGGTGTTTATGATTTTAATGATGATACTTATCAAGACATAATCATTACAAATTCTGACTCTCGTGCTATAGATATTCTTTTAAATATCTGCGAATGTGATGCACGTGGAATTTCTAAAAGAAAAATGTCCAACCTCTCATAATTTGTATTGTATCTCAAAATATTGTAGAAAAAAAATAACATACTTAGATAACATGTAATTTGTGAAGTTCTCTTGAATATTTTTATGTTCTTATTCGGTTGTTTACTTCTTTAGTATGCTTTATCTTTTATTCTATTGCTTATTTATCAATATTTCAAATTACATTGTAACCATTAAGTTTACTTTTAATTCTATAAATCGAAATATTTATATGAATTCGATACAACTATGATTTATTAGGATACTTTTTAGTAGAATGTGGGTGTTCATGCTGAGGTGATATTTATATGTATTGCTTTTATCCACACCCACATGCTCAAGAACTATCTCAATAAACTCTTTGCTGCATGTTTATAGAGAAAATTACATCTGTTACGAAACATAGTTCATTAGAAACCAAAATATGAAGTACAAAAAGGTACATCTTAACGACAGTGCGAATGATTAGCGATGGAGATTGACGAGAATATGGGTACCATATTTAATCGACACCTACTCTAAATTGATGAGAATGAAACATGATCTACTGTATATTAAAAAAGATTAAAGTATTATTTCAATTCTTCAAAGAAATGAAAATAAAATAAACCGGCATCAGTAGAACAATACCAATCTTTCTTTTTTATAATAGTTGTGTCACATAATTTGCTAAAGCAATGCAGTGCCATTTCTCATCATCGTTCATCAGGAAGTGGACGACGATACTACTATGGTACTACTTGATGAATAGTGCACCTGTTAGGGCAATAGATCCATTTGGACTTCGAGCATCTTCAGCTCTTCGCGGCGTTTTATTTGGCACAGCAGCTAGCATTAACAATTTACGAAAGGATATCGACGGTGGCCAGTACAACTCCTTTATAAAAAAAAACTATCATGTGATTGAGCCGGAGAACGATTTTAAACCTATGAAACTGTGGCGTGGTATAAACAATTACAGTTGGATCGACTGTGATTGGCTTTTGGGCTCGACACCAAATTCCACAGGATGGGCTCAACAGAATGGAATGCAAATACGAGGACATACTCTAGTGTGGGCTCAAGACAAATATACGCCAGACTGGTTATTGAAACAGGAATCGTCATTATCATCCGACAAAGTCAAGTTATTGTTGAGTGATTACATTCATGCAGTAGTCGGTCGCTACCGAAGCAAAGTACTTTGGTGGGATGTAGTAAATGAAGCCGTCGAGGATTCGAAGAATAATAGTCGTCCATTTAATTTGCGTGATTGCTTTTGGTATCGAAAATTGGGCCAAGATTTTGTTAAATATGCTTTTATGTTTGCTCATCAAGCTGATCCTCAGGCTCAATTATATTACAATGATTATAATAATGAAGATATGGGATCAAAATCAAGTAGAGTACTTGAACTAATCAAATGGGTGAGATCACAAGGTGCTACCATTCACGGTGTTGGTATGCAATGGCATATACGAATCTCACGAACAGTCAATCCTGGTGATCAACATTACCAGAATGCTCAACGATTAATAGACAATGACTTTGATTTCATGGTAACTGAGTTAGATGTAGCTATTCCGATAAATGCAGGAAATCCTCGAGATCCGAATGATTTAGAGAGACAAGGCCGTCTCTATCGTGCTCTCTTGAAGTATGCATTACACTTTTCTCCAAGATGTCGTGCACTAATCACTTGGGGTTTCACCGATCGATACAGTTGGGTTCCTGCTTTTTATAACAATACGGAAGGAGCTGCACTACCTAGTGACTCGAATTATCAGCTGAAACCGGCCTATATGCAAATGCAAGAAGAATTAGCTCGTGTTCTTCCCGATGGCATTTATCGTCTCGCGCCGAAATCACAACCAGATAAATGTCTTAGTACTTATGTCAATGGCAACGTCAGTAGAGTTCAATTAGAAAGTGGAGGATGCAATAGTGCACATCAGAAATGGAATATTAGTTGGCTTGATAATGGTACTTATCGATTATCGTCACAAAATGCCAACGCCAGTGCTCTTACCGCTTACAATGTAACGGCAAAAACTGGTGGAGTTCAAACAAACAATTGGTCAAGCAATGTTAATCAGGAATGGGTACTTTCTTCGTACGGAAACAATGTATTCCGCTTCCGACCTCGAAATGCATGGTGGCGTGTATTTGCTCTTCATGATACATCCAACGTCGGCATCGTCGATTTTGTTCAAAACGATGCCCTACGTTGGATTTTAACTAAAGTTTAACTATACATTTCTCTTTTCAGTGGCAAGTTTGTGTCAAGCTTTATAGTAGAAATCTATAATTTGATTAAAATGAATGATTAAAAGTAATAATATATAAGAGAAACAGATGTCTTTGAAAATAGTCAATTTATTAGAGCGTGAGTGTTTCATCACTCGCATCCCACATCCTGTTTTTGTTGAAGAATAAACAAACAATATTGAAATGTTTCAAATTTAGAATAATTAAAGTATAAAGATAAGACTATATTCGAATAAGAAAGAATTGCCATTAGAATGCATAATTTAATTATTGACATGATCGATATCAATGAACAAATGTTGAATAAATATGTCCCACGTTGGATCCTTCAACTCCAATTGACTACAATATATATTATTATGTTGACTTGTTTGTTGATAGAATTCAATAGCTTTGCTAATTTGTTCGATCAGCTTAGAAGGTAAATGATTGTACAGAGGAACCGTAGATATCTAGAAAGATGAAAATGTAAAAAGAAGAAGATCTAAAAAGAATCCATTTACCATGATTTGTTCCAAGTTAAATTTAAATTGTGATGTATTTTGTTCTAAAACTTGCGCTTGAAAAACAAGCCATATGAGAATGATGCCCGTACCAATCAAACGAAGAATTTCATTTTGTATACTTAAAGCTAAGAAAATTGAAATACATGTCTCTAAACTTTACCAATAAATTATTCATTCTCACCGAGTGAGTTAAAGCCTTGTTCACGTAAATAATGTTCAAGATCATTAAAGATCTTATGATTGATATAAAGTACATTAGCTAAATCTATATTTAATGCAAATGAGCCATCCTATATGTAAATCAAATGGAATATAATAAATAGTTAATGGAATTTTGTAAATAATAATACTTCAGATTGAAGTTTCATTAGCTCTTCAATCATTGTTGTTGTAAAACGGATATCTTTTAGTTTACTGAGAAGTGGAGCAGTAATCGTTTGACCTGAATTTATATATGATTACAATATATTTCTCAAAACAAGAACTACGAATAAATTACCGAATGAAGTACCAAATTCACTGGAAAAGTTGTGTATTATACCTTGAATTTGACCATTCAACTAACAAAAGATAAAAAATAAAAACAATCAAACTATACAAAGATAACAGAATACGAACTGGATATCGAGGATCATCTGGTTTACGGTTACGAACTACAAAAAATAATACTAATTAAATATAATATATCCTTTGAAAACTAACCATATTTAGCTTTACAATTTGCATCACGTTCTATAAATAAAATATGTTGCTCAATATCATCTTTTGTTGATTCTACATAAATATAAATACTATTTAATGATAATATCAAATATCTCAATCATTAGCAAACTATGTTTATCATTTCCGAAAGTCAATGAAGTTTTGGCACCCGAGCAAACTTCTTCAGCATCGACATGAAGTATACCATTAGCATCAATATCCATACGAATAGATATTTCAAGTGTCTCAGCAGCAAAATTATTTGTTAAATCAGAAAGACTGAATTCGTGCAAGAACATCTATACAATAGGGAAAATTAGAAATAAAATGTTTATCAAATTAAAACATTACATACATTGTATTTTGTGAGAGTATGTTCACCTTCAAATATGCGAATAGTAGCTGTTGTTTGATAAGCATATGCATTTGTAAATATTGGATAAAATTGAGTTCGTGTTGGAATGGTTGTATTACGAGGAATAAGTATATGCATATTACCGTAAATATCTTCGACGCCCAAACTAAGTGGAGAGACATCGAGAAGTAGTAGATCACAGATAGGTGTATTATATATTGAAGTTTTCGTCATATCTCTTGCATCATCACACTTTTCATCATATAATATATCTTGATCAATATGTACAAATGTAGAATTTGTTTGTAGTGTTTCAACTTGTATATTAGCAATAGGTTCTTGTGAATCATATGTAATAACTCGACCGCGACCATGTTTGCCAGGTTTTATGTAGGATTGAAAAGATGTATCTATGATCATATAGTTTATTAATTCAAATGGTCGGAAAAAGTTGTTTGATTCTATCTTACTAATAATTAGCTTCGGTTCTGATACTATAGAAGATCCCATACAGCTGCCACCCTGCCTAGATGAAGATGATGCTGCTTCTTCTGATAGCGATATTGTTCGATATGCTGCTGTTGATGACGATGGTGCAGGAGAAGGAACAGAAGTATCTGCAACATTGTCAAAAGGATCGATTGATGTTATTAATTCGATACCTAAAATGAACATATTTAATATGTATAACGAATTAATTGAAATATTGAACTACAATGACTAAAGATCGTGCTCGAGGAAAATTTGGTAATTCTTAATGATTTTAATTTTGAAAAATCAGTCAAAACTCAAGTGTACTGAACTCATAAACATTGCTAAGATGAGCTTCATATCTTACTATTATTCATAGGACTTTCGCTGCGATCCGATGATGGCATCTTACAACTTTCCATCCTAAATGAAAATGTCAATGTTTACATGATAGAAAGTCTGAAATATACGAACATTGGTATTGTAGTATCAAACTTTGGTTGTGATGGTTCAGGCACTGATTCTATAATGAATATATAAAATGGATTTGTTAATTATAACGATCTTACTTTTTTTCTCTTTCTTTTCTTCTGTTTTTTTATAACTAGGAGATGTTGGCATGTAATCAGGTTGTGATCTTAATAGTAAATTCGTTTTTTGAGAGCGTTCTTCTTCATTAGTTACAACCATCATTGGAGTGGCCAAATCATGACTCGTAAAAGAAGATCTACGAATGGGTGTAAACCGAGGAGAAGATGGTTCATAATATTCGTTATCGTCATTTTCACTGTCCGAAAAAGCTGCTTCCTCGTCCTCACATGATACTTGTGTGTAATTAGCTTTTTTCAATTGTATTTCTGATGCACGGTTTGCTAAAAAGAAGATTCATAACGATAACTAATTTTTTTTTGTGACTGCAACTAATATAGACCATAAAATCAACATCACTGAAAATATTGCTATACTAAATTAAATATTTTCGTAACACTTGTTTATAATTCTCACAATTCAATATTTTTCTTTTCATGAAAGTTTTTTTTAACTATTTGTATAACTTACTAAAATCTGAATAGGATGATTCATCCATACAGTCCAAAACGCTCAAATCGACGTTATTCCAATCATCCGTTGATTCTAATGCTTTTAACACGTGTTGCCATGGGTAATCTTTCTGTACAGGTTTCCCCTCTAAAACCAAACATAAGGGTGTGTAAGAAAGACGGATGTAATATCTATAACTACACTCACACTACACCCATCCACTCGATTGGCTGAAATTTTAATGCAAAAGAAACTGACTAGACGAAAGCTAGATATGAAAGAAACCTAAGCATTAATCTTTAGGGGGATGTTTTTTTTGATTTTGCTACAAACATACAGACAGACATACAAAATCAAATTTTCTTCATATGACCGTTTCTTCAGGCAAGAAAGTATTCTTTAATAAAAATAACAGTCTAACCTTCATCAATATTTGCGTCTCGAAGGACTTCATCAATTTCTTCATCGGTGAGTTTCTCACCCAAATTTGTCATGATATGACTTGAAAGAAAGCAGAATAAATATATTTATATACTAGTTTTTTCCTTTACCGCAAGTCATCAGCTGATAAAAATCCAGTACCGTCCTTGTCAAAGACACGGAATGCTTCGCGAATTTCTTCTTCCGAATCAGTATCCTTCATTTTACGTGCCATCATCGTTAAAAAGTCAGGAAAATCAACTGTACCATTACCTAACAATAAAACAAACAGAAGTAAATTTTCAATCAAAGGTTAAAAATTCTTTTCTTTTTTAATATAATCAAGTTTACTATTTGATTGATTAAAACCTTACCATCAGCATCAACTTCATTGATCATATCTTGCAATTCAGCTTCAGTTGGATTTTGACCAAGACCGCGCATCACTGTACCTAATCAATATTTAAATAAATATATATAGATCTAAAGAAAAATAAATAAAGAATTTCGTACCCAATTGTCTTGTTGTAATTGTTCCATCACCATCTTTGTCAAATAGATAAAAAGCTTCTTGAAACTCAGCTATTTGTTCTTCTGTCAATTGATCAGCCTAGAATAAAATATTTAATTTTCAGCGTTGTTTCTACATATATATATGATATTAAATTAACTTACCATAGTGCATAGTTTTTCTATCTTTACCTTTTGCTCCATTGGTGTTAATTGTTTCAAATCACTTCCAAGCTGACCTAAATCCATAAAAATTAAAGATAAATATTTTATTTACTTTTTTTTCTGGGCTATATTCAAAGTTTAATAATCAAGTTATTTTCTTACCATTTAAATCAACCATTGGTTCACTACAAGAAAATAAATGCAAATTTTTTTTAAAATATTTTCTTATTTTACATACATTTCGTCGCGTGGGATTATAAAATTGTTAGCTTGACAATGTTGTTGTAATATCTGTTGTTCTTCTGGTGTTGCATTAATCATTTCAGTTGTTATATCTATTTATTTTTTAAATTTAATATATATATATATAGAGTTAATATTTATCTTAAATCATTCAATATACCGCTTTTCATTGTATCTTCTATTTCATTTGCTTTATCGTATTCATTCAATGAATAACGATATGTACGTATAATACTCATCATTGTATTAAATTTAGCATCACCACCTGTTCGATAAGAAATTGTTTGACAAAGTTTTTCAATATCAATAATTATTTCTCTTTTGCTTAGAATCGATGCACTATCAAGTGAAATACGTGCATCAATTAATTTCTGTTTGATTGAAGTTAAATTTGATACATCACCATCCCATCCCATATATGGTAATAAGTCTTCATCACCTTCGAGCATAACTTGAAGACGATGAACACCTAAAACAACTTTTAATTTTGCTTGTTTCTTATTAACCGACGAATCTACTCACCTGGTTGAACCGGTTTTGTATCCGTTTTAACATCACGTTCTTCAATGGCAACAAAACTTGTATATGCACTAACAACAGAATGTTTAATACTTAAATCAATAAGATCTTGTTTATATTGAATCTTAATCAATTCATTTTCACTCTCGTCTATATTCAATATTCCATTATCATAATCATCGATAAGTGCTCGAGCAGTTAAACAATGTAAAATACGTCCTTTAGTTGTTGTCATTGGACTGCTAAATACAGTAGTAACAAATTCTTGTCCATCAATAATAGCTGTTAATGTTGCCTTATGACAATTTCGTATAAATCGATAGACAGTCAAACGCATACCATTGAATAAAGATCGAATCATTTTAGGTGCTTGCATATTAAACTTTTGTTCTTCATCTAATTGACCATGCCAATCGATTGATATACTTGTAACACATGGTTGTCGAACATATTCAAGAATATTTAATACTTTTGTTTTCCATTTCGATCGATAATTTGAATCAAATATTATTGTTAAACCACCTCCACTTGCTCCATTACTTAATTGTTTTAAAGCATGTTTATTAGCAACATCACCAATTGAACATGAAAATAAACGATCATGACGCATTGTCGATCGATGTTTAAATAGAAGAAGAATTGAATTAAGATCATGAATATGTCCATCAGATAAAAGAATAAATTGACGTCCAAATTTTACCGATACTGATGATAATAATGAGTAACGATGTAGAACAGCATATAGATCCGTATTACCACGATGAATAGGTGAATGCTAAAATATATATAATCAAACATATTTCACGATCGAAAAGAAGAAAACTACGAACTAGAACATAATGTTTAGCTTTATCAAGATTTTCTTTCGTAGTTAACATTGATATTGGAAAACATTCATCATTATCTAAATAATTTAAATTTAATTAAGAAAAACTCGGGAATCCTATTTTATTACCTGATCCAAAAGTAATAACATTAAAGTATGTATTTGTATCATCAGTTTTTAAATTTGTTAAAAATAAATGAGCTAATTGTTTCGCTTGTTTTACATAATTTCCATTCATTGAATTTGATACATCAATAATAAAAATAAGTTCAATTTGTTCATTTGTATTTGTTGATATTTCAAATCGTGGATAGAAAGTAAGCATACACGCTTGAGAATTAAAATTATTTGATAGATCACTTGTTTCATTTGATATTCGAGGTAAATTCGTACTATCAAGTGTTATGGAAAGAATAAAATCTCGATCAAGTAGAACATTATCAAGGAGTTCAATCATAGCTATACAATCAGTTAGTTTTCGACGAAGGCGATGTGTTGGAGAAAATAATTTTATTATATTATATGGCATACGTATTGATGCTTTAAAACTAAATTCAACTTTTTCATCAACAATACCAATTGATCGTAGCGATGATTGATCTCGAGTTTCAATTGCTTGTTTCGATTGCCATGAAGTCATTTTAGATGGAAAACGAAAAATGATATCACCATTTTCAATTTCTAATTCAGCAACATATGTAATTTTGATAATAACTTCAGTATTTGCTGGTAAATTACCTACAGCAACACTAAATACTTGTGCTTGTTCTTGATGCATTAAATAAGCACCATGACCTTTTTCAATTGCTTCTCGATATTCTTGTTTAGCTTGTTCTTTCTCTTTAACAACACCTTTGATGATTTTATTATTGATATGTGCTTCAAAACCACATACAGTTGAATTTTCATCTAAAGGAAATACATATTTTGCTTCGATTGGTGTAGAACTCATGTTATAATAGACTTGATAGAGAACAACCTTTGCATTAAATAGAAAAATGATGAATTTACATTTTTTTTACACTACAGATTGAATTACTTCAACTGTAACATCAACAATTTGAGCACGAATATGGTAGGATTTTAATGGAACAAGTTTGCCTGATGATGGACATATCAAACCATAATCTTGTTCCGCAATTTCAATAACATCATCATCAATTGTCATTGGAACTTCGACTAGAATATATAAAATATATAATCTAATAAAAACACAATCATCATTACCATGTTCACTTAATTTTAATACATCTTGTTGATGATGAACAATAGGTAATCGTTCTAATTCAATATTGACAATATCATTCGGTATCCATGATACTTCGACAATGTAGTGTAAAAGTTGTTGATCTAATTGATAGATTACATATTCATCATCCTAAATAATATTTGTGATTATAGGAATCGATACTATAATTATGCTTACAGTAAACATTGAATGATTATCTTCTGTTCGTTTAACTCCGTGTGTACTGTGGAAACCATCCGGAGGCTTGTTGAGCGTTGATGAAAATGAATAATAATTAGCTGATTCACCTAATGCTACTTGACAAATGCATAATAATCGACGTCCTGGTCGTACTGTGCTTGGCGACGTATATTTAAGAGAGGTAGAAACAGAATCAGAAAAGTAAATTCCATAACCAAGACAACCAATATCAGTACGTGCAACACCTAATTCTTCAATTACCATTTTAGGCATGACTAAACCACTAAATATATATACATAATCATAAATAGAAATATTAAAGAATGAATTGATTATTTTACCGTGAAAGAATTCCAAGAAAATTCGTATATTTCGATCCATGAAATAGTTGTCGTTGATTTGATAATGTATTACAAAAATTAAGTACATCAGTTTGTTTAGTCACATTGAATATATTATGAATAATAATTTGTTCACCACTATAGTAAACAAAAAAACTTGAAGTTGAGTTAATTCAAATTTTCATACCTATCTGTTGATGATTGAATAAGTTTAACAATATTTTTATATTCAGATGTTGAACTTGCTATTGTTTCTATATAGCATTTCAATGCTCGGTATTTAGCTTCAATGGGTGCTTTAACATTCCAATTAGTTAATTCATTAACTGTAAGCATATCTCGAAGCATCTGAATAGATAAAAGATCAAGTGAAATGAATAAAAAGGAATGAAATATACTTGACATAAATCGATTTTCTCAATCAATACTCGACGATTTTTTATGAGATCAATAGTATATTGTGGTCGATGTGGTATAAGTGAATAGAAATGAAGTGCCGCAGCAGGATCTTGAGTTGATTTGAGTTTCAGCAATACAGCTTCTGCTTCAATGATCTATATTAAACTAATTTCGATATATAGAAAAATAAATATAAATATAAATATACCGTTTTAAGAGTGATTGATTCAGGTGATATACTCAAAATTTTATTTAGATCACCAATTGATTCTAACCATAATGATTCAATTAATTGACAGACATTTTCATCAAGTATTTGTGTATCAATACGATGAGTAAATAAAGACTGAGATCACAATTGTTTTATTCTTTTCATTAAATGTTATTTACTTACACGTAATAATAATTTTGAACCGAATTGATTAGGTAATTTGTCACGAATTCGTATTATACGTGGCATTGATGATAATCGATAATAATATGATGCAAATAATTGTTGTAGTTCATTTGGATCATTTCCAAATGCATATTGTATTAATATATTTTTATCTTGTTGTTGTTTTTCATATCGAAATCGTAGTCGATAATCACTCGTTGTTTGATCATAGTATTGTTCAGGAATAATTTGAAGTTCAAGAACGAAAAATACATTTGAATTATCGTTGATTTCCTGTTATGAACAATAGAAATATAAGAAAAGAATAGCTATAGAAATAAACTTTAAAAATAGCCCATTTGCCAATTTCACAATGTGTTGAATCATCGAAACGAGGTAAATTCGCATCGTCTGAATTCCATAACTTGATTTTATTTAGATCGAATTTATTGATTTTGATCGAATTTACTCGAGATTCTAATCGAATAAGGATATATGACATGATTTTTAGAAGAGGGAAACCTGATTATTACCTGCAACAGGAATAGTTCCAGTTTTTATAAAATTTTCTTGATCTTCAACGGATTTGATAATAAATTTGTTAATATCAATTAATGATTGACCAGATGGTAAGCGACGATATTCATACACATATTCAATATTGATTATTGGTATGCCGAGTTGTTTAGCACGACGTATCTTATAACTATCAACATTCTCGGTTGTCAAAACATAATCAGTCTTGAAAAAACTAAGGTATGTATGATATAGAAGAAGAAAATTATACATACACTAGCTGTAAGAATATATGAAATGTGTGCTCGTTGTTCTCGTAAATAGTTGATTATTTCTTGTTTAGCTTTGAAACTTTTTTCACGGCCAAGCTCAAGTACAATTGTTATATCATTAAATGGTGATAAAACTAAATTAGATATTGTAGATTGTTTCATCTGAAATTAATCAAGAATTTTCGAACATATTCATTTTTTTTGACTGATTTTTCAATGTCGAGATATAGAACGAATGACTCATTCAGTAACATGTAACTCCGATACAAAGAAAAATAAGTAGGTAAATATTTTTAACAATTCTGCACGTTGTATGCATGTAATGTTATTGCACAAGCCGATGTAATGCAAGGTATTCTATGGAAATTTTTACTTTTCCGCCAATACAGTATTACTACATTTTATCATTAATATCGTCGCTAATTGTTTGAGAGTATTTCTTTTATCATTCTCAATCTCACGACAATATCATCTATGTTAATTTTAGTTATATTGTTTTTCGTTGAAATCAAGCCAAAAGTTTTGGAGTTTATGAATGATAAAGACTATATGTTTAATAAATCGTATAGATCAACGATAGAAATAATTTACGAAGCTATCAAATGCAAGATGTGAGTGTAGTGGATGTCAGTTAAAGATGACACAAATTCGCACCTACGCCCTATCTTCGTAGTGATTTATCGAAATTATTTTCTTTCACAGACCTTAATCAAATATTTTTTTATTTTCTTTTGTCTCTAGACATTATACTTTCACCTCTCACGACTAACTAACATACTATTTATTGATATACGATGTAAGAAAGAACAAAATAGTAAATATCAGTAAAGGGATTTATCAATAAAACAGTACCTTTTTGATATTATCTTTACTCATTCGCTTGTCACTTTTTAAAAGATGAAAATCTTTGTTAAAACACTGGACGATATCACTATACCATTCGAAGTAAAATCCTCGGATTCGATCGAAAAACTGAGACTTCAAATTCAAAACAAGATCGGTCTCTTATCTGACAATCAGCATCTTCTATTCAGTGGTCAAAAACTTGACAACTACTTTACATTCAATCATTATAATATTAATGACGACAGTATACTTTATCTCATACATCGATTTTCATCGTGTTACATCTCATCAATTTACGTGACTTCAGAATGATCAAAACGAAAATAAACTTTTTTAAGTTTTTATTATATTTTGATTGTTTTTCTACCAATAAAAACTATTGTTTATTATAACGAGTAAGCAAAAGGTATAGGTTTTGCCAATGTCTTTATTGACATCCACTCCATATCCTCAAGATTCATATTTTAAAATGTTAATTAATAAAAAAATAAAATTTTTTTTATCTGAAGCATCACAAAATTACTAAAAGAAACGCACGTTGTTATGAAATATTGTGATGCATAATCAATCTCTTAATTATTATCAGATTTATTTTGATTGGTTTTTTTCATACTAATCATAAAAAAAATATTACCGGATATTAGGTCGGTTTGCAACACTCTAAATTGAAGTAGTTTTTTTCGAAATTCAGACTAAAATACACAAGATTATTGTATATCATCAAGATAGAAAATAACATTAAATAAATAAAAAGAAGAAAAAAGAAATTAGTATAATCTACGCATCAATGATCACCATGCTGAAGGAAGGACACAAATTTGTAGTTCTTTGTCTATCATTTAGCTGTTTACATTATTTTATATGCTTTACACGAACGAATGAAAAGTATTCTTACCTATACTAAATGTGTTCGGTGTGTTAGTTTCTTTTTTTAGTACGTAAAATACACGATCATAGATCAGTGATCACTGCTATGAAGAGACTTTATTTAGTTATTCGTGTTTGTTCAGATGATATACAGGTAGTACGTTTATTTGTTAATTTTCGCTTCTTATCATCCTTGGAGTACTTTTTTTAAATAATAAATACCATTACATTCCTTGGATTTAGTCTATAAAAATAAAATAAGATCAGTATTCATTTCTACTTATATAAATTGTGACTCTGAATCTTTTGTTATTTTCCTTTTTTGCCAACAGATCAAGTAGTTAGCAGCTTTTATCCTACAAAATAATACCACGTATTTAGTTAACAAATATATCCATAAAGTCTTCGTAAAATTCTTTATCGTTTGTCATAAGTACGAAACTATTTAATCCATTTTACATCGAGAGATGTATCTATAAAATGATGCTATTTTGTATTTCAGATAATTTAAACAAGTATCATAATCGTCTCAATCCTGAATTGTTAAGGATATATCATATCTAAAACAGTCTTATTCTCATTGATTTACTCGATAATTCTTTCAAAGCCAGTGAAATCTTCGTGGTCACTATCGATTATATGTGGAATCTTGTTACTATTGTTCATCTTTGTTGCTATGAAAATGGAGGGGGATGTTTATGACCGGAAATTAGGGTACGACGATTCCAAAACAAATGGAACCGAAAACCGAACCGGAACCGACCTTTTGGAACCGAAATCGAACCGTAACCGGTCTTTTGAAATCGAAACCGAATCGAAACCGCTGTTTTTTCATTTCAACTGGCCGAAGCTTCACTGGAACCGCCGTACTATAATATAGAACATGTTATTTTGTAAAGTTCTCTGATTGTTTTACTCAGTCTTGTACGTTTTGAACGATATGCTCTTCTAAATAAACATTATATGTCTTTAGTGTCAATTATTAAATAATTCAAATTTTTTGAAAAAAAAATTCGTATTCGTATAATACTTTAACGGATCCGGTTCAGGGTAATTTTTGGAACCGCCGTACTCTACTGGAAATGGGCTCACCATCTAAATTCAGCTGGGTTCAAGAATTATGTAACCGGGAATACCATGGCAAAATCTGAAAAGGGACTGATTTCCAATCATAAACGCCCCCTCCTTTATCATTGATTACTGCCTATCTACCTATGAAAGGTTCTGCATTGACATAGAGCACAACTGATAATGGTATAAAAGACGTTTCATCATTAATAAGAATTATCACCTGATGATTTTGTTTCTTTTCAACGGATCTAGTCTATAGAAGCATGTACACACGAGTACAACTCGATTTATTGACGCAACAAGTGAGCTTGACTTTTTTCATCATTCTTGTATATAATTTAATTATATGAACTTCGTATTTTATTGATGAATCAAATTCTCGGCTATTCAACCTTGTCGGATGTTCTTAATGTACAATCAGTATCATTTACTACCGAAAATACATTGACGAAGAGTCTTCCCAATGACAAAAAACAAGATCGAAAAAAACGGTAAACTGCCTATCGAACTCTCAATAAATTTCATATTTTATTAATTTTGTTTAAGTAAAATTTCCTGTAATCCAGCCACCATTGGCGTGGGTCAAACCTTAACACTTATATAAAAAACTATCCAAAGATAACGTGCATTACCAACCATTGTCGTAAGCAATTTCTAGCACAGCTCAAATCAAATATGCCATCAAAGTTTAACCGAAACTCTTTGTTACTTCTACTAAAGATGAACAATGGGACTGTTGTATTTATTCCGATCCAGTTCTGCTTATTTGATGAAGTTGAATCCTACAAAATAACATCCAATTTTTTTATTGAACTCTTCTGATATTCATAGTACCAATTTATATCATTGTGTATTTAAAAGAATTATTAACTATTTTTATATTTACATTGTAATTTAAATTAATTCTAAAGAAAAATCTACATGCCTTTTTCAATAGCAATCATAGGAAAGAATTAGAGAATATCCTTATAATTGAGGGTGTGGGTGTAGCAAATCTATTCCACTCACACCCGCTCTCGAGTTGCATTAGTATCTGGTGTAAGTGAATGTAAATCACGTTGGACAGCTAATGAATTATCACATTATTTACAATTAAAATTTGCTTGCGTATTTGTACTTCCATCATCAATAACATGTACATTTTCATTTCGTATAATATGATTTCTTCATCGTTGGTCAATGAGATCACGACCTTCAACAACACTTGCTTTATCAATAATAATATTATTCTTGTAAATTAGTCACCATTACGGATACTTCAACTTTATGATACACTTAATGAAACGAGGAACAACACCATATATACAAATATTAAATTTTATTACATTAGTTTTTTTTTATGCAAATGGTTTATTTACTGTATTACTTTATTTAATACTAAAACAAAATTTCCGTGATTATATAAGAACAAATAGATGGTTCAATATGGAAATCAATTATTGGTGAAAATCAAACTCCTGAACAACAAACAAGAGAAATTTTACATAACGGTGATGATCAAAATGCTTCTATACAAAATGAGCCAAGTTCAGCTGCTAATTAATTACAAAAAAAAACATTTTCTTTTCTTTCTGCATCAAAAGTAAATAATAATGTCTCGGTGGAGATTTATCTCAAAACAATTATACAATCTTAATCAGAGCAAGACACTATAATTCGATTTTTTTTCTCCAATTGATAATCTACTGATTAAGGTCTTGAGATTATTGATTGAAGTGAAAAATAAATTAAAAAACAACAATCAACATTTAGTCTTAGTACTTTCAAAATCAATCAATAATATTATATATTTGATTTCTTAAGAGTATCCTTCTTTTTTTCTTGATGAAAATTTCATTTTTAACACACATAATAGATCTTATAGTGTCTTATATAATTACAAACATCATTCAACCTTAAAGAGTAGTTACATTAGTTTTTCATAGTTATTATAATGAAGCTTTTTTTTGTCTCTTCTGCAATATTTTTGAATATCGAAATTTTCTATATCAGTATAAATAGAATCAAATAAAAACAAACAGCTTATATATTAACGATCTTTGATTTTTGTAATTAGACGTTTAGACTAATGATAGTTTTCATATGACATCTTTTAAATTACAATTAAAAATAGTATGTGACACCCATTTTTTTTCTTGTTTCAGTCTAAGAGAGACAAACTAATGATCGTGCATAACAATAGTTTATTCTTGCAAAATTTCAATCTAAGTATTTATTGTAAAAAGAAAAAAATGTAATTGTTAATTCTAAACTTTTGAATTATTTAAAACATTATTAAAATCTTCTTTCATACATTGTAATACTTGATTTTGACATTCAGATTGAAAATTATGATGTCCAGGAAACAGTCGAACACGAAATAAATCTTTATTTGTTGTTAATTCTAACCATCTAAATATGGAAATTATATTCTTTCATTTATATATAAAAAACAAATTCTCTTCTACCTATTTAAAGATTCTATATTGAGACCTTCATCTTTTTCTCCTTCATAAACAATAATTGGAGTATTTATTGGAGTAGATGAAACTGATACATTGCCAATCTAAAATGAAAATTTGAATTTTTAATAATAGTCAAAATGTAACTAACTTTTGCATCAGCTCTGTACATAGGTAATACCATATCAACAAATGGTTGATAATCATAAATTTCTACTGTGTTAGGATCTAAATAAATAGAATTCTTTACATAAGAATAAAATTAAAAATAATCAGACCTGCTGATTGTTTTAAGTGTTGAACAAGTTCTTCATCCGTCTGTTCAACATAAGATTGATCACCCTCCAAAACAGTATCTATTTTTTTTTATAATGAAACTTTTTTCTTTATGAAACAAAATTCATTCAAACCTGCTGTATGAGGTGCTCCTCGTCCCATTGCAAGTATTAATTTAATTAAATCTCCTTTATTTGTTGTTTCAATTATATGTCTAGCGAATGCAAAACTAATTATAGTTCCAATACTAAAATTAAATAAATATTAGAAAAATAAAATATCAAACTTTTATAACTTAATAATATACCTATGACCAATAAAAATACATGGTTTCGTCATATATGGTAGAAGTTCTTGATCTAATTGAGTAAGATATTCTTCTATAGTTGTTAAACATTTTTCACCAAGTCGTTTTGCTCTTCCAGGATAAATTACTAATGAAAATTCATATTCAGGAAAATCTTTATCCCAATTATTATAATAAAAACCTTAATTTAATAGAAAAAAAAAGAATTAATAAAATTGATTAAATAATAAATTCATACCTGGTACACCAGCTCCTGGAAATATAAATACTTGGTATTTAGCTGATGGACGTGAATGACAAATTTCAAACCAAGGATGAGGTTTAGTCGAATTACTTGCCATTCGTTTCGTTTTTAGTTTATACAATCAAAAATCAAACTATAAGTATAAGATTCATTTATCTTCGATCATACATCGTTATTTTATCAAAATAAAACATGCTTTTCACTCATGCATAACGTAAAAATAATAACATTTATATACTATACGAACGCTAATATGATCAGACGCACACCAATGATATCATATAGAAAAGAAAAAGTCGTGTATGTGTGCAGAACAATCGAGTGCAAAACAACATTATTCATATAGCCTACGCGATGTATCGTGAGATGATGTGATAGTTAAAATAATAATTTAATTTTCTCTGTTAAACTTCAGTTTATACTCTTAGAAATAAAATAATAATTAATTCTTCTCATATCTTCAAAATTTCTAAAAAGAATTGGCGATTAAACGAAATATATGAAATTCTTTAATACTATAACAAGTATCATTATCAGGCAATTTATTAAAAAGATTTAAATAGTACATGTACTGAACGATGTATTATTAAATATGAATTTTGAGTATTTTCTTGTGAATAAAATTTAATTATATTATTATTATTGGTTGAATTTATTTAATTTAAATTATTTATATGTTGTTATGTGTGGGTGTGATTATTCTTTTCATCGAGACTTACATTCACATCCACAAATAAATTTTATTCGTTTAAAAAACAAACAACAAAAAAAAGTTTGATTAATGAAAAACTTGCTTTGTTTCTCATCAACATCGACAATGATATGCTTTAAGAATTGATAAAAGAACGATTTTAGTCATTAATTTATTTTACAATAATAATAAGAAGAAGAAATGGGTATGGGTGGGTATTATTTAGGAATTCATGTTAGACTCATGTGTACAGCCTCACGCATCTAACTACGACAAATAAATATAAGCAATCGAATTACGAACGAATGTACAATACAACATATATGTAACTAAGTAAAATGTTTACTGATTAATGTGGAGTAATTGTAGTGTTGATACGTTGTGGTTTCATTATTCTCTTTATTTTTGATAAGATTTCTGGTGATGATCCAAGACACACGAAAGGCATCCAAAGCATAATGAAATAAGCCAGAAAATAAACAAAATACTCAAATTGACCAGTTGCACCATACGGTACACCGAATGCTTGAGCGACATAAATGCATACCAGAGGAAGATTGAATACAATAAAGAGTCCGGCACACGCGAGCAGTTGTATAATCATTCTTCGATGTTTACGCCATTGTACATGTTGATGAAGACGTTGTTTTTGTTTGATAACACGAATAACCAGTAAAATGTTGAATATTGTAGTTACAAAACAGGGTATATCACCATTGACGAATCCATCATACATCGAAAGAGCTGCTATTTCATACGCACATGCACCTCCACAAGTATATGCTGCGTAATTTAATGTATGATCACAAGGCACAAAGAAAATAAGTATAGTGTAGAAAATAGACAGATACAAAATAATTGCAGCTAATGGAATATAATGAATAAAAATACGTTTCTTTAAAGTATTAAGCCATTGATGATGAAATACTAAAATGTGCCTTTCGATCGAAGCCCATGCCATAAGTATACCTAATCCATAATAGCCAGCTATATCTACAACTAACCAGATATAACAGTTAATTGGTGTTGATGGCCAGACATAGTGAAGACGAAAAAGTGTAAGATAATTTGGAATATCAATAATCAGCAAGAAAAAATTAAAGATGAGAATAGCAATGATGACATGGTTATTGAGTGCATTTCTTTGTATCCGATCAAAGCATAAATAATAAAGTAATAAAACACAACAGAAAAGTGATGGAACTTCAAAAATAAGAAGAATCCAAAAACGAGTCATTTTTGATAAAACTATTCCGCTGACTGGATATGATAATGTTTCATTCGTTGCTGTGTTATTGACGAAAGCAATGTCTTTCAATGTAATACTAGCCATTTAATATATTCGAAGAATATCGTGTTTGTAGTAGATTAATATTTTTTCAAACTATCCAAAGTAATCGTCTAAGTATATTCCAGAAATAAAAATTATGCCTGTCAAGTAAATTATCTAATGTGTATATATACGGAATAAGACGTTCGGATGTTCTCTCATTTTTTCTCCTGTGAGGTGTGTATTGACAGTATGATTTTTAGTATCCTGTCCATTAAAGATAAAAATATTTTCTCAGTTTACAAAAATGCACTAAGAGATGTATCAAGAAAAAATCTTCTTATAAAAAAATGAAGAAGGGTTCAGACATTAGTTAAAATATTTCTTTAAAAAATCGTGGGAACTATCTGTGTGCTATTTATATAACAGACAGATAACTGTCGTCATAAAATGTCAAATTAACTATTTTGAATGAAACAAACATCAGAAAGAATTGCTTTTGCAAGGTTGGTTCTTTGGAAAAAAAGATCGCCTGTCAAATATACAAATGTTTGTATATTAACGCATGAAAGGCGCATCAGAAAATTTATATCAGATCTATTTTACCTTGAAAAAAGCATGACTATGCCAAGAAAGATGTTCATAATCAGTGACAGACGTCCTTTTCTAGAACATCCCTTACTAATTTGTTAATAGTACATGTTCGCTTTCTTTTTTCCTTCCTGTTGAATTCAAGAATTTTCTACGGAGTATTTCTTTCTCTACTCTCTTTGGGATGTGCTTGCTCTCTCTTCCTCTGTCGCTATCACTCGTATTTTATACTATCAATTCATTAAAGATTTTGAGGATGGGAGTGTAGATCTCGGTGGTCGCCGTATCATTAAAAACACCCTCTTTAACAAGTTGATCTTTGCAAATAGATGATTTAGAAAATTATAAAACTATTCACATCGAATCAAATGAAAAAAACAAAATATCAAAGATTTTGTTGAAATTTTCACTGATGAATTAGTGTTTCTTCCATAACTCTGTTTCTAAAACATGGAACCTCATGAATTATTTACTGGTAATAGAACTTAACAGTCTGAATTTCTGATGAAAATTGCAAGACATTTCTTTTGATATCGAAGAGATATGGATTCAACAAGTGAAAAAAATGAAATTCCGTAACGCACTGTGGTACTCTAACATATGTCCCTTTTCAAATAACGAGATTCAATTATGCATAATTTTGTAGTATGATATAAAGTTCCATCAACTATCACAAATATCACCGCAAAGTAGTTTTATTTATATTTGATTACGATAACACAGAACAAAAAAAAATTATTTATAAATGCATCAATAGTTTTCTAGTAGTAATCCGTATATCGTCGATATCAACATTCACATCTTTGACACTTTCTTGTTCTGTACAATGAACTCATTGATTTCACCCTCAAGTTTCTCTCCGATTTTATTGTACGCGAGATCTAATGTGGTAAGTGTCTGCAAGAAAAAGTGCAAATGGATATATAAAATAGATGAGAAAGACAATGGTAATTACCGTATTATTTTGTAAGGCATCGGCTAGATGCTGTGCTCCAACATCTCCAATTCTATTCCCAGATAGATGTAATGTGGTAAGTGTCTGTATGACAAAGTACGCATGGATATATGAGATTGACGAAGCATATAATGATATTTACCTTATTATCTCGTAATTCATCTGCTAGATACTGTGCTCCAACAGCTCCGATTTTATTCCACGCGAGACTTAATGTGATAGGTGTCTGCATCAAAATGCGCATATGGTTACAAGAAATAGATGAGCAAGACAATGATAATTACCTTATTATTTCGTAATGCATTTGCTAGATGCTGTACTCCAACATCTGTGATTTCATCGTGGTCGAGATTTAATGTGCTAAGTGTCTGTATGAAAAAGTGCAGACGAATATATAAAGTAGATGAGAAAGACAATGGTAATTACCGTATTATTTTGTAAGGCATCGGCTAGATGCTGTGCTCCAACATCTCCAATTCTATTCCCAGATAGATGTAATGTGGTAAGTGTCTGTATGACAAAGTACGCATGGATATATGAGATTGACGAAGCATATAATGATATTTACCTTATTATCTCGTAATTCATCTGCTAGATACTGTGCTCCAACAGCTCCGATTTTATTCCACGCGAGACTTAATGTGATAGGTGTCTGCATCAAAATGCGCATATGGTTACAAGAAATAGATGAGCAAGACAATGATAATTACCTTATTATTTCGTAATGCATTTGCTAGATGCTGTACTCCAACATCTGTGATTTCATCGTGGTCGAGATTTAATGTGCTAAGTGTCTGTATGAAAAAGTGCAGACGAATATATAAAGTAGATGAGAAAGACAATGGTAATTACCGTATTATTTTGTAAGGCATCGGCTAGATGCTGTGCTCCAATATCTCTAATTTGATTGCTGGCGAGATCTAACCTAGTAAGTGACTGCATGAAAAAGTGCAGATAGATATATAAAATAGATGAGCAAGATACTGATTTTTACCGTATTATTTCGTAATGCATCTGCTAGATGCTGTACTCCTGCATATCCGATTTTATTGTCGCCGACATCTAATGTCGTAAGTATCTGAGTGAAAAAGTGCAGATGGATATATGAAATAGATGAGGAACGGAATAATATTTACCTTATTATTTCGTAATGCATTTGCTAGATGCTGTGCTCCAACAGCTCCGATTTCATTGTGGTAGAGATTTAATGTGCTAAGTGTCTGCATAAAAAATTGCAGATAGATATATAAGATAGATGAGCAAGACAATGATAATTACTTTATTATTTCGTAATACATTTGCTAGATCCTGTGCTCCTACATGTCCGATATGATTGCTGCGAAGATTTAATGTGGTAAGTGCCTGTATGAAAAAGCGTAGATGAATATATAAAGTAGATGAGAAAGACAATGGTAATTACCGTATTATTTTGTAAGGCATCGGCTAGATGCTGTGCTCCAACATCTCTAATTTGATTGCTGCCGAGATCTACGCTAGTAAGTGTCTGCATGAAAAAGTCCAGATGAATGTATGAAATACATGAGAAAGAGAATGCTATTTACTGTATTATTTCGTAATGCATCTGCTAGATGCTGTGCTCCAACATCTCCGATTTGATTGCTCCAAAGATTTAATGTGATAAGTGTCTGCATGAAGAAGTGTAGATGACATAGATCTGGAACAGAATGATACTTACCTTATTATTTCGTAATGTATCTGCTAGATGCTGTGCACCGACATCTCCGATTTGATTGCTCTCAATATTTAATGTGTTAAGTGTCTGTATAAAAACGTGCAGATACATATATGAAATAGATGTGGAACGGAATAATATTTACCTTATTATTTCGTAATGCATTTGCTAGATGCTGTGCTCCAACAGCTCCGATTTCATTGTGGCAGAGATTTAATGTGCTAAGTGTCTGCATGAAAAAGTGCGGGTGTATATATGAAATAGATGAGGAAAAGAATGATATTTACTGTATTAGTTCGTAATGCATCTGCTAGATGCCGTGCTCCGACATGTTTGATGTGATTGCGGGCGAGGTCTAATGTAGTAAGTGTCTGTATGAAAAAGTGCAGATGTATATATGAAATAGATGAGGAAATGAATCATGTTTACCATATTAGTTCGTAACCCATCTGCTAAATGTTGTGCTCCTGCATGTCCGATTTGATTGTATATAAGATTTAATATAGTGAGTGTCTGCATGAAAAATTACAGATGGATATATGAAATAGATGTGGAACAAAATGATATCTACCTTATTATTTCGTAACGCACTTGCTAGCTGCTGTGCTCCAAGATCTCCGAGCTCATTGAAGAAGAGATTTAAGTTGGTGAGTGTCTGTATGAAACAATATAGATTAGTAGATTGAATAGATAAAGAGGGACGAAGAGTTATCATATTGCTGTATGAGACATTGGTTAAATCTTGTGGAAAGAGATGAGGATAGAACAGTTCGGTATTTCACTTTTTGCAAATCTCCACCTTGGAGAGTTGAAAAATTAAGGAAAATATTATGAGAGAGAAGGAATCAATCGGGTTACTGTAGATAAAGCTTATGATCAAGTATTGCTCGATATATTCAAGTATTCTTTCTGAATGTCCAATCATATTCAATTAAGCAAGTCAGATCAGAGAAGTTTCTGTCATGTTATGCGCCAAAGAATTGTTCTGTGTTGCTATTGAAAACTGAGATATTTCAATATAGATGTTGAATTTAGTGATCAAGTAAACAAAGTTTTATTTGAATATTTAGCTATGAGTATATCATTTACAGTTTAGTAGTTCTTCAGTAAATCTTGTCGCATATCTGTAAAAGGTTATCTCATCTCTGTTTTTTGATGATTAATTGTTCGTAGAGAGGTTTATACATGATTTAGATATTAAACAATTAATAGAATCGTAGGAGCTCATGCTGTTCGTAACTGTGTAAATGTTTAAGATCTATATGTAGGCTCTCTGAGTGTTATCACATTTCTTTATTCTGGCATATGCCACTAATTAAATCGAAGTATAGCCTGTCTGAAATAATATGTGCTCATATGAAATGAAAAAAACTAGTAGTATGTTATATAATATTAGATATCTTCTGGCTGCAAAATCAACCTGATCAAGGATAATTGATTTATTTCAGCTACAACTCCTGTGAAGCCTTCAGTCTTTACCAAACAGTTCGTTTCAACGCGAAAGATATATGAATAATAGTCCAGGTATGCAGGTAAAGACAATTTCTCCTTTCCTTTTTCTTCTAAATATTGCACATGGACGGGTAAAAACGATGCGGAAACAGTGGAGTTTTTAGAGAAGTAAAGAGAATATGATTTTTACGTATATTTTCATTTTTCTTTTCTATTTCTATGGTGCTGTATATAAATCGTTTGGGGAGATTAATGCTTGATGAATTAATATGCTTCGTCATTATTTTATTCAGGCATTTTCTCAGAGATATAGATGGTAAGAATGGAACGCAATTCAGAAATAGCAGAAAGATAGATAATCATGATTAAACAAAGTTTACTTGGTATCGATGGTAACTGCTGAGAATTGCATTGAACCGTTGGCACACATTTTGCATTGAGCATACTATTGTTAAATCACTCTGATGATCCAGAATTCGGTAGACAAGCTCTACCGGTAATGTAAGAAACGTAGCAGGCATTTTCTTCGACGTTGGTTAAAACTGCTGCGATGGCTTTGTATGGCGCTTTATGTTGGTAGAATGAAATATATTGTTGCTTTGTTTCTTTCGTTTTACGTGAGTTTATATTTGTGATATGTTATCAATTTCTCAAAGTGATGAAATTACTTATTTGAAGAGAAGAGAATGCAAAATAATGACGACAAAGTATACACTGAGATAAGAAACAGAATTTATTAATTTTTTTCCTTAAGTTCTAGTGATAAAGTGATATACAAGAGGAACGAATATTTTGTTGTTAACTCGATTGAATAAAGTCCGAATAAGAATAGATCAATAGGTTTTGTAATAAAACGTTTTTTAATTTACTTTTTCTAACATTGTATTTGATTATTTCATGACAGAATGAAACGATAGAATTTTGTGAAATAAAAACAAAAAACAGTGTTATTTATGTGTTCTATATTTTGTATGAAACCACGTCATATTGGTTATCAGTTTTTTACAAATATCCGTAATTGAAAACTAGAATTTAATATATCAATCGAAGAAAAACAATAGTTGTAAGTTTCATCATCGAGTAATGTTAGATCGATAGCTACGAACTCCTTGTATAAGGTTGTGTTCCAGTGAAATACAGTAGAAACCCACTGGTTGCTAGCATATATGTTTTGATCTGTTTACAATAAATTTTAGATACAATGAAAACAAAAAAGGCGTCATACGAAACTAAAAAAGGGTTTTGTAGTAGCCGCGAAAATCTTTTTTAGTTTCGCATAATGCCTCAGTGTCGTCTGACGAAATGAACTAAAATACAAAAATAAGACAAATAAATGATTAAAGATGTTTACCGTTCTATTGAAATAATCATTCAAATAAAGTCAATAAAAATACTTTCTTTGGTTTGAACCATCTTGAGGGTGAGTGTGGGTCACCCACCCTCAACCATCATATCTGCTAGTAATTTCTTATATAATTGCTAAATAGCGCTATCTATCAATTACACAGCCTCTACGCCATGTAATCGGTTGTTCCTTTCTTAATCGTTAGAAACATGAATTTTACATTGAATGACTAATTCGTGTTTGTAGACAAATGACGTGTCATTGTGATTCATCATACTACAAGGTGACCTATAAATAACAATGCAATAAGACATTCCAATATTACCACTTCGATTCAATTGAATTTGACCGATTTTTTGTGTATCGATAGAACTTTATTCATAGTTTTTCTTTTATACGGACAGTGTCGGTAAGTTATGGTATTAAGTATGACCTATTGTGAGGTAACAAAAAATACATGTGAAATATTCTGTAGATAAATTTCAATGGTTACCTAAGCGAATGATGAGAAGAACATGAAGCAAACTTTATGTATGACACTATATTTATATGCATAGAGGAAAGTTCCAAAATTGTTTGATTTAGAGCCAATACTTATTAACTTTCATACTTAATAGTAATAATTCCTTACATTTTCTACATGAAAAATGTGAGATCATGTAATTTTTCAACAGTTTTGATGTTCAAAGTACGCTTGTGATCAATTTTTTAGTACATTTTACTAACTGAAGAAAAACCATACTCATAGAAAATAAATTTATGAAAGCTATAAATATTATTTTCTTATTAGATAACGCATCAAATTTATTACAATCTATTGAACTTGATTATGGCAAACAAACAAAATTCCAAGAAATCTAATTCTATCAAAAACTCAAAAGAACCGCATCTACTGGATTCTTCCACTTTTTCATCAGACAATTTGAATAACTTTGGTGAATTTCAATTTAATTCAGACAAAACACCGAATAATGTTCTTAAGTTTAGCAACGATAATCGTACTGTAGAATGGTTAAAACCATATGAGGCAAGTTGGATTCCAATTCCAACAAAATCAAAATTACATTCAGGCAAATGGTTTTTAGAATTTAATGTAGAAGCTATGAAAAGTGGTCAGATTGGTGTTGGCTTCTTACTAGATTGGAATCTTGGTCCTGACTGGGGATTTTTTGGTTATTTAGGTGCTTCCCAGACTGCATGGTCTTATGATCCATCGACTGGTGATATTGTATCTGGTACAGACTCTATCCATGGTAATTTACCAAAATTTAATGGAGATAGTGGAGTAATTGGATTAGAATTGAATCTTCCTTCGAGAAAAGAAATTGGAAAATTTACATTTATTATAGATGGTGTTCGAACACCAACGAAAGAATTACCTAATTCAGGTGCTGTTGTTATACCAGCTGTGTGCCTTTTGTCACAAGGACAAAAAGTGACTATTAGAAATTTAACACGATTAGATTAACGTACTCTTATATCACTTTCATGAATTAAATAAACATATTTCTATATATTAATCTTAAGAAATTGATATTTAATAATTTTATCAGTTGGTACCTATATATATATATTTATTTTTTATCTACCATAATCTCACTCGATTGTGGTTGTCGTTTTTAAATATATTCTTCACTTTTATATATAAAGCATATCTATTCTTCTTACACAGGTAAAGATGATGATATCAGTTAGTCTTTCGTAGTATTAAATGCAACTCAAGTGAGTAAAATTTTATTGTAGATATGGTGTTGATCATATTTTTAACAGAAATGCAAGTATTTATTATTTTGATAATGATGACACTAGTTTCAAATATCAATACAAAAGATCCACAAATTTTTACAGTTTTTAAACCATATGATGGTAAATATCCATGTTATCGTCAAGTAAGTAATATATATATATGATACATTGAATCTTTCTAGTAAAAAAGAATTTCATAGCCAGCTATTCTAACTACCAATGTTCAAAGAACTAATATGATCGTATTTGCCGAAGGTCGATTTGTAAATAATTGTGCACCAGCATTGGAAGACGGACTAGAAAAACATATCAGTCAAAATGAGGATGGTGGATTAGAAATGCGTCGTTCAGAAGATAGTGGATTCACTTGGCTTCCTGCCCAAACAGTATACAGAGGAAATATCGATTTCTATACTGTAGTATGGGATAGTACGTCAAACATGGTTTATCTGATGTTACAAGTACTTTCATCAGTTCTTGTTTTTACATCTACAAATGAAGTAAATTTTAAAAAGAATGTAAACTATTTCATTTTTATTATGTATTTATTCTCGTATAGGGAATGACATGGTCAGACCCAATACCATTGAATGTATTTCCTCCTTCACCTTTTAGTAAATCAATAAAACCTGCTGTTGGTCATGGTATTGAGGTATAGTATTTTCATAGTTATTATATTCATAGATGATTTATATTATAGATCATTGGATCACTATGTGAAGTTAGAAATTGTTCTGACACTGGAACATTATTGGTATGATAAATATAAGTAAAGTTCTACTTATTAGCTAGAATCTACATCTACTATAGATGCCATTTGTATGTACAAATGGATCAAGTCATCCAGGAGTTAATGGTTCATGTCCAAGTTGTTATGCATGTGTACTAAAAAGTAAAATGCCAATAAAAAATCAAAAACGAGAGTGGAATTTCACAGGTATAGCACAACAATACACTCGAGAATCACAGCTTGTACAATTGATTGCTACTAATGCGAGTACTTCACATATTTATTTAAATGGAAGAAATTTTTCACCAATACCTGGACATCGTTATTTTGCACGTTCTACTAATGGTGCAGATGAATTTACTGAATTTGGAATTGATTCATCATTAATAGAACCAGTTACCAAATCATGGACTGGTGTAGTTTGTTCGATCGAACGCATATCTACAATTCCTAGTCGTATTCTTTTCAGTGGACCATCAAATGCAACAATACGTTCAAATTTAACTCTTCGACTTTCATATGATGAAGCCCATTCATGGCCAATATCTCGTATACTTTATTTGGGACTTAGTTCCTATTCTGATATGACAGTTCTCGGTAATGGAGATAATATCGCTTTAGTTTTTGAAAATGGTCAACAAACATTTGCAGATCAAATTTCTGTGGCTATTGTTTCTGTTTCATGGATTGAAGGAAAAAGCACTTAATAATACAAAAGAAAAATATTATAAACTGCATATGAGAGTTTTTTTTTTTATAAAAAAAGCGTCATGTTTATTGATACAAGATCATTTTTGTTTCGCGATAAGACGTATCTGAAAATTAAAGAAAAAAAATAATTGTATGTTCTAAAAGATTAATAATTATTTTCATTAAACATACATCATTTCGAATATCTCTAATTGCTATTTTAAATTCATTGCGTAGTTGCGTAATTGCATCATTTTCTTTTCGATTATTACTTCCTGATGAATCTCCACTTGTACCTCCGGATTCTCGTGAAACAGAATCATTTTCCACGGTTCCTCTAAAAATAAGAAATTTCATACAAAAATAATTTCTTTTATTTATATTTAATCACCTATCGATTTTAGTCAATGCTTCACGTTGTGCATAAGCATATGTTGATGCACTTTCAAATTCTTGCCAAACAAGTTCAAGTTCTGGTTGAACAGCAATCACTTCTAAAACAAAAATCATTAAAAATAATTATCATTTCTTCGGTAATTTAGCTTACTAAATACACGTTGTAATGGATTAGCATAATTATAACGTACTCGAAGATACCAATGATAAAACATTTTAATCAGAGCAATAATATCAAATATTGTACTGAATGGAAGGAATAACGGTGGTCGATCATAATATTCTCTAACAACAGCATATTGTTGATAATTCCAAATATCAGTTTGAATCGATTGAACATCTTGAAAACTTTGACTAAAATTATATAGAATACAAAATATTCAATAGTAGAAAACAAAAAATCAAATAATATACTTGAACATTGCAATTAATAAATTAACAAGTAGAACATTAATTAAAAGCATATGAAAAGCAAGTAATACATGCGTAGCAATACTTGTAGTATCATAGGTCGATTCTAAAATATCAATCATCATCATCATCATCAGAGTATTTTACAATATATGTATATATATACCATCTAATCCACTTAATTCACCCGATAAATTTGTATAGAGCAGATAATAAACAGGATATAGAATGGATTTAAATATTTCTCGACCAGTAAATGGGAATGTACCATAAAAAGCCATCGATCGTGAAGCTACACCATATGCAGTCATCATAACAGCGATAAATATAGCAAAAAATGCTAAATTTTTTAACTAAAATACAAAAACTATTTTTTTATCATAGGGTGTGGGTGTGGGTGTAGATCTTCTCTTTCCTCTCACCCACACTCTCCGACAGTTTGGTATGTTCCCTCGTTAGTATATGTCTTACCATTTTTCCAATTGATACTAAATGAGGTCCAAGAAATGGACTAACTGTAATGAATGAAAGAGATCTCATCCACCATAACCATAAATCATAACCCAAAAAAACTCTATTAAAAAAAAGTTTTTTAATTATTTATGATTTTAAAACTAATTTACCTAGCTGCTTGAAAAGTTTCAGAATAACCATTAGCTTTAAATCGTAAGATTAAACCAATATAAAATAAAAGAAATGAAATTAAACATAATTGTTTGAAAAAATAACCAAAATAATTATAACATTTGCCCATCAATGAAAGACTATCTTGGCTAAAAAACTAAATACGAGAAAATAAAAAAATTTCTTTTTTTTGTTTTAAATTACAATACGAATTTCTTCGATAAGCATGCATGTAACGCTTAAAATAACATAAATTTCTGCTAGATGAATGCTTGATTTATCATCATAAATTGGTTCAAAACTAAATAATAAAACATAACTGAATAAAAATAAAAAAACTGTATATTGAATCTAAAAAAAATAGAATATTTTATAAATTATATTATCTATTTAATAAATCATACATGATGATAGGTAAATTTAATATGTAAAGATTGATGAAATTGCCAGATTTGATACAATTTTTTAGTAATATTGTTATCAAAATGATTAATAGCATATGAATCACAATAATTAATACCATATGGTTGTAAACTAAATATAGTACAGAAAAACAAAAACTATTATTGAATAAAATTATTTATTTTTATTTACGTTGGTTCAGTTGGCAGTGGGTTCTTTCAATAACAAAAAAAACGAAAATTTGTTATAGAAAAACAAAAGAATTCTTACTTGATTTACAGACCGAAACCGCGCTGTAAATGGTGCAAGTAAACCTAATGTCCATATCCCAATTACTTGTCCGATATAATAACGTATATGAAATTGATCAGAATGTAATTTATCATACCAAATACTATTCTCTGCTTGTCTACAACAAGGATGTGAAGCAAATCGTTTACTATTTGCATCATCAGCTACCTAATAGAAAAAATTATTCAAATATTTTTTGTTTTAAAATTTTGTTTTTTCTTTAACCTGTAAACAAGTTACATCACCAAACGCTTCTACACGTTGTACAGTTAATATTTGTGCCATATTTGGATCATTTTTAAAACATAAATCCATACAATTAAGTGCATATTGTTCAAAATATTTAATCCAACGTGTAAGATCAACTTTAATATCACCATAAACAGCATCGGATGATTTATCACGTAAATGTGAAAGAATTTCAGTTGCTATTAAAGCTCCACATATACGATCTTTCATATGAGCAAGAAATACTTTAGCAAGTTCCATATAATTCATAGCGATAGCCCAAAGAAAAAGATCTCGAATAATATAATCTTTTGCTAATTGTTTATAAATAATTTCCGTATGAACTAATTGTCCTTGTTCAATATCAGGCATTGGTGATATTATATTTGTAAAATGTTTAATACCCATACGATCTTCTTCTTCTTCAATTTGTGTATCATAATAAAGCTTTTTGATATAACCACCAATAAGATCTCGAAATAATTGATTAAGATCATCAGTTGAACAAATTATTTTTTCATTTCGATCATTTGTAGTTTGAATTATATTTCGAAGTAACCAATCTTCACGATTCTAATAATAATAAATAGAAATATTCATTAACTATTATATATATATTATAGGGGAAATTAAAATTATAGTTTTTTTCCATACATTTCCTACTAAAAGTTGAAGATTTTAATTTGTCCTAGGGGACATTAAAATTTGAAGGGTGTCAGTATGGGTGTGGATCCAGCGCATCCAATATCATACTCACACCCAGCCCACACCTAATCCACATCCACCCAACCCACACCCATACCCACCCACCCACACCCACATTGGCACCCTTCAAAATTTAATCTCCCCTAGGACATATACATACAATAGCTTCTTCAGTGTATAATAATGATATGAATTCTTGATAACGTTTATTATTATTTCTTGAAGCAAATGGATTTAATTTTGGATGAAAAAATATTTCATCAATTTCAGATCCTAGTTGAATAAAATAATGAACAAATTTATGTCGTTGTTTTGTTAATGCTCGAAAAAATATAGATTTTTTATCATAAATATTATCGAGAGAATCTTGAACAATCCATTCTTTTGCTGTATTTATACAATCCCAATCAATTGCTAATTCAAGTAGATGATCGAAATGTGGTATAAAATTATCAGTTTTTTTTAAATTTGATTTCTTTTTATGAATTTTAATTTCAACAGCTATAAAAAATAAATAGAAAAAAAATAAGACATTTAATTAGCAAATTCTTACATTTACAAATACTTCGAAGAATTGTTTCAGATAATTTTTCATTTTTATTATAATCAAATATACTTATTTTTGATCGAACTTTTGGTTGTAAACAATATAGAATCATAAGAAGAATATTATTATTAATTGTTTTTAAATTATCTGTTATTATAATTTTTCTTGAACGATTTTGATCAGTACCATTGATTGCTTGAAATAATTCATCACTCATTGAATCGATATATTTTTCAAATTTTACGAATAAACTAAATAATAAAAATATACCAAAAGTCTTAGCCATAATATTTTTAGTTTTATTACGCGAATACATAGTAAAACTTTGAAAATTATTTATTGATTAGATCAAGTAAACGAAGAACCATTAGCCGAGGTGTTAGAATTAAATCAAAGCAATGGCAAACGCAGTGATTGGTGACCGTCATTCCTTCGCGATTCTTTTTTCTCAGTAAAAGCCGTTAAAAAAGATGACATACTACTTCGAAGATACTTCAAAAACTGATTTTTCGCCACAATCGTCGCCCCTGCCAACCCCTCACTGAGTCCAAGATGGAGTTGCTATATGCGACATTATAGGGCAGGCATCTTATTATGTATTCGCGTAATAAAATTAAAAAAGTCGTATATAAATTCTAAATATATTACGTACGGATTTTGATTAGAGTTGTTAGATGGATTCGTAGTAGAATCTAAATTATTTGAATTGTTTGATATTATATAATCATTAATATCAACTGGATTTGTCCAATCAACATCAAGATCCATTTCTGTTGTTCTTGATAACCATCGAACAAGATAATCAGCAATACGAGCAGTATTCTAAAAGATAAAATAATAAGTTTTCTATTACTAGAATAATTTACATTAATAATAATGATGGGAATATTTCTACGAAGATCATTATAGATCGATCGAATTGAATCTTCACCACCTTCGAATAATAATGTTACAATTGGTACTAAAATATAAAGATTTTAATTGATTATTTTTTTTTGTTTGAAAAATAATATAAATTATACTTGGTAAAGTTTGATTTGTGTGTTTATGTGCAATAGTTTTTACTAAACGAGTACGATAATCACCTATATCAAAATATCGAATTGTTCCATCATCAAGTAATAAAAAATGTGTATGATTCATTTCTAAACTTTGTTCACCAGCTCGCCATTGATTCACATTTTTCTATAGAAAAAGAAACGTTTTTTTTAAATAAGAACTACTAATATATTTTACATTTTTTTCTCTCTCTGGAGATATTTTCTTATAATTTGTATAAACTTTTTTTTTTTAATTCTTAGATTTTACTCAAAATTCTTGATTTAACTACTTACTAAATCCTGACTTTCAATTAAAGATAAATTATTTGGTTCTAATCGTTGAAAATCTTTTATATTTTTAATACATCCATAATTACAAACACCAATTGCTACGGTTTTATCTAGTGGTTTGGTTAATTTTCGTTTGCGAATTGTCTGTCCAAGAAGTTGAACAATACCAACGTTAGCTCCACTTGTAAGTAACCAAGTGTCTTCAAAAATTTACTTCCAATCAATATAAACATAAAAATAAAAAATTTATTCTTACTTGATTTGCTTACAAATTTCACTAAATCATCAAGAAAAGTATCTCCCATTTTTCCTTGTAATTTAAAATATTTATGTCCACCAATTATTTGCATTAAAAGTGCTGGCCGTGGTATCTTCCAAATATCCAAAAGAATTGTTTCAACAACAGTTGGATCAGTTTCAATATCACATCGAACATACTATACAATTGAAAATAAACAATATAATTTATTTATTTTATTTTTTGTTCATACCGGTGCTCCATTAGTTAAACAAACACCTTGTTCTTTGTTAGGTTCTTTAATTGTATGAGTATCTAATCGCCATTGTTCATTCTCTCTCGATTGATTATCTATTTCAGGATGTTCATTTGCAGCTCGATTACAATGGCATAATTTCTTATTTGGACTGAAGAATAATAATCAATTAAATATTTTTATTTAAAATATGTCTTATTACTTGTCAGGAGAAAAGACAACACATCGACGAGAATTAATCGGAAGTGAATCAAATGCAGAATCATATTGAGCAGGATTCTATTAGCAAAAAATATATTTCTACTGGAAAAATAAAATAAAATTCACATACATATTTACGCTCGACTTTAGTTCTCGACATAATTTTTCTTATGATACTGATCTGTTTGAAGTTAACAATATGAGGACATGCTTTTTAAATGAGGAAAAAGAAATGACTTTATTTTGAAGAGTAGTATATAGACATTACCATGGTAAACACTTAGAAAGAAAATATTATAATCAAGAAAATGGAAACATTATAGTAATGTTTTTTAAAAGTCATTCTTTTTCTTTGTTCCGTGTATTTTAATAGAATATTATTTCTTTTTCTTTTTTTTATTCTCTTCACGTCACATATAATAATAATAAAAAAAAAACAATTTATTTTATTTATTTAATTCAATGTCAATAGGATATATGGAGACTACCAAACTGAACATTTGTTAACACGACTGTTTCCTTGACCAGGTGTACATTTAAACACACGATCGAATTCAGCAAAATTGGATAATGGACCAAGAACTCTATAAATAAAAAAACGAACTTATCATCAAAAACTTGAAAAAAAATAGAAATACCGAAATTGTGGAATTGAGTGAACATCAGTTAAAACTCGATTTAATGCATAAGCATCAGTGAATTTTGCACACCATCCATGAGCGTATCCAATGAAAAACATTTGTTCTTGAGAATATTTACTTAAACCTGGTAATCTTTTATCGACATTTGGATTTTCTTTAGCCCAATTTTGATAAGCCTAGAAGAAATAATTTTTTTCTAAGTTATAAAATCAAAATAGAATTTATTTACAAAGAATGAACTTTTGATTCCACCATTATCAGCAATATTTTCTCCTTGTGTTTGATCACCATTTAACTGAAAAAGAAAATTCTTTTAATTAAATAAATAATTATGAGAAATTAAAATACATTTTTATGAATTTGTGCGACTGTATAGTTGCTATATTGATCAATAATACATTGTTTACGTTCATTAAATTGTGTAATGGTAGTATTTGTCCACCAAGGGATTCGATTTCCATTTTTATCATATTGCCGACCATCATCATCAAATCCATGTGTTATTTCATGACCAATAACCATACCAATACCTAAATCAATAATCATAACCTTTCAAATAATAATAATCAGATAATTACGTACCACCATAATTAAGATATCTAGAATAAAAATATAAAATAAATGATTTTTAAAGAAAAAAAAAAGATTATTTTACTTTGGTGCATCTTTGTTAAAAAATGGCATTTGTAAAATACCAGCTGGAAAAGCTATAGAAATAAATAAATTATTAGAGAATATAAGAATTTAAAATAAAAAGACTTTACAAATAGCATTTGTTGATGGTTCATAGAAAGCATTGACTACAGTTGGAGGAAGATCACCCCATGCACGATGATCAACAGCTTCATGAAGTGTTCGAAAATCTTCTCGAGCTTTAACTTGTTGCATCAGAAGAACATTTTTAATATATGATGTATCAAATATATACTATAAAAAATACAAATATAATAGGAATTCTAAAATTTTTTTTTAAATATTATTTCTTACTTCAGCATACATTTTTTCCAATTGTGTTGTATTGTCACTAGCAATATAATCAGGATAACCAATATTTTCATAAATAGCTGCGGCCTAAATTTGTCAATATATTTTTGTCAAGAAAAAAACAAGTAAATGTTTTATTACTTTATCAACAGCTTTAGCTTTTGAATCTGCATCCATCCATGAAGCGTCTTCAAGCATTTTTGTCATTGAAGCTCGAATATTTTTAATAATATCTTTTGATTGTGTACGAGCATTATCATCAAAATATTTTTTAACATAAAGTCTTGAAACAGCAAAACCCATATTATCATTAACATAATTTGAACAGATTACTGCACGTGTTGGTTCAGCACTAGTTCCTTTAAAAACTCGATCAAATTGTATACGAGTATTACGAATTCGACTTGGCATATTATTTGCTCGATTCATCATGAAACGCCAAACTAAGTAATTTTGAACAGTATGTGCTGGAGCAGCTTGAAGAATAGATGAAACATTTACTAAATAAGCAACTTCACTAACAGATATAACATCTGTATCAAGTAAAGTTACATTAGCAAGAAGATATGATTGACGAACATAATCAGTAAAATTAAACTAAATATTAGAATAAATTATAAAAATAAAGTAGATTATTTGAAATAAATTCTTACAGATGATGGAAATGCTGCAGCAAGGCCACCAACAGTTGTTCGTATGGTTTCATTATCTCGAAGACGTTGTTCTGAAGCAGACCAATGATACTAAATAAAATAAATATTTCCTAATATAAAATACTATTCAAAAACCTAAATTACTTGAGAAATAATTTTTTCTAATGCAAATATTTCATCAACATCAGTTTTAATTGCTGCCATGGAATTATTTGTTAATGCTGAAGCCAAATCTATCATAAACTGACGATAAGCTGCAGTAATAGCGGTTTCATTATTATAATATTCTGTTTCTTGTAAACCAAGAGTACCTTGTCCAAGCTAAAATAATTTCTTTAAAAATTTTTCAAAAATAAATCAATATTTGTTTTACTTCAATATCATATGCTGATGAATTTTCTTGATTAGTTGCTGTAGCAATACTAAAAATTATACCATTATCATATTTACGTAATTTAAGTAAAAGTTCTGTCAAATCAAAGCCAGGAACACTGCGTGATGGAGGTTGTAAAATAGGCCAACCACCAAATTCATTGTTGACAATGGTAAGTACAGCTTCAACACCATCTAATTCAATTTTAGTTTCATTCATACATGAAGCATATAATTCACGTGCATGAGCAACAGCTGCTGTTGTATCAGGTACTGTTGTTGAAGATAAAAGATCTTAATAATAAAATAAGGTTAGAAATTTTTAAGACATTAATTATTTAAACATACCAATAACATTTAAATCCAATTGTTGATCTAACTGATTAAAGGTATTTTGAACACCAGCTATTAAAACATAATATTTTTCTATATTTTTGACAAAAAAAACAAAATATAAACTTACTTTCTTCCGGAATACGCGCACTTTTTAACCATGATCCACATGCAAATTGATAAAAATCTTCACAAGGCTCAGCTGTTTCATCAATAGAATCCAATATATAATCCGCTAAAATAATAAATTTTTAAAAAATTGTTATTTCACAAATATATTATATATATATACCTGCTTTGACACAAAAGGGTGTTAAACATAGATCATCGTACTCTGAAAATGAAATTAATTTATATTTTTATAAAAAAAATAAATGAAAGATATTACGGGGTGTAGGTGTAGATGTAGGTGTAGGTGGAGATGGTTTGATTTTAGATTTTTCTAATCCATATAAAATACCCAAAGCGATAGCTAAGGAAAGTAGAATAACAATTACAACAAGTAGCCAACGATTGTAACTTTTTGGCTGAGAGTCAGGTATGACCAATGGAGTACGTGAACTAAAATTTAATAAATATCATAAAAAGAATTGTTAATAAATATATATACTTCAAAGATGTTTGCATTTCAATGAATCTAAAATAATAATTTAAAATATTATATTTATTAAAATAAAAACGTATATATATATATCAACAATAGTGAGACTTTTTATATGATGATAAAATATTTAAAGAGAAGACTTTCATGGTCATTATCATGATACAAATTCTACTAGTGATAAGATATTCACTATTTCTTTTCTCCTCCTGTACTTTGCTCTTGCCATTTTCATACATTATCTTGAAAATGATAAAGATTTAGAAATAACGACACTCTTTTTTTTCGTCTTCTAAAAGTCAAAGTTTCGCTGTAAAATAATTAAATGAATCATATACCTGGAAATTTTATCTTGATATATTCTAGTAAACCATATCTTTAAATTTTTGAACTTTGATCATTCTTTATATATTTACTTTCTTACTCTGACTGAGTATGTTGCTTCTTTTTATTCGAAATTCATGACGTTAAGTGTAAATAACATATATTATATAAAACAAAAAAAAAGATTACTCGAGAAATGATCTTTGATATTATTGTTTAACGAGGTCGTTTTTTGTCATTTATCTTATAACCACTGAATATACTATTAAAAGTTACTTATAATGTTGATTTGACTCAATTATATTCCTTGTCCAGATTACCAATTTAATTATATTCGATATACAATATAATGAATTTATATAAGCAAACAGTGTCCATTTCAAAATAAAAGGTGGGTAAATAATTTTTGAGTAACCCTTGATAGAAACAAGATGAAGAGCTGCGGTTTTCATCGTTGCATAGAGACATCAACATTTATATAAACAAAATTTTTCTAAAACTATTATCTAAAGCGTTTAGAAAAAGAGGGTGTCACTGATTAGTTCCTTTCAACGATGAAAACCGAAATTCTTCATCTTGTTCCTATGGAAAATTATTCAAAAAATAGCATTTTGAAATGGACAGTCATTTATATATCAATAAAATATTAATTCGATTGTATTTAAGACATATGCAATAGTAATTATTTTGAAAGTAGTTTATCGTCTAAATACAAAATTAAACTTTTACTTGAATTTATATGTAACCTACAGTTTTTTGAATGTTGTATTTTATGAATCAGTCGCAACTTTTACTAACAGAGTGAAAAATTAGTTCCTAATTTATTTTATTCTAACATAATTTTTATGGAAAAAGAAAATAAAAAAAGTCTACAATTTATTATAATATCTTTCGATAATCATTTAATAAGTTTTCCATTGAATCATCCATATTTTCAATCCATGATTTGCAAATATCAATGGTTTTACTGTGGTTTGTATCAACAATCGATTCATAAGATGCATCACGATAATGAAGTATATCATTTACTTTATTTGTTAGAAATCTCTTTGTCATCTCACCACCTTTATCAAAATCAAATGTTAATAAAGATTGATTATTTTTATAAGTATGTAATAAGTTAATAATATCCTTCATATAATCAGTTTGAAGATCAACCATAGCAAAGAAATCAGTAGGAGACATAGATTTTTCTCTTGTTCGCCATTTGTCTACATCGATTTTCATTTCATTTTTATCTGGTAATTTAATATGACCAAGAAAAACATCACGTACAAGTGCAGCTTGTCCATCAAATAACGGAAATGAAAAAATTTGTCTCGGAGCACCTAAATATGCAACAAATGGTTGATCAATCCAAAAAATACTTTTATAAAGATTCGCTGGAACAAATTCAGTAACATCAGCTTGTAAACATAATCGTCTAGACATAAATGGATATGAATGACGATAACCAGTACAAATTATAATTGCATCAATATTATCAACGCTTGAGCCATCATTAAAATGAGCTGTTTGACCATCTATACGAGTAATCATTGCTGCATCTTTTATTGCAGAAGGCCATTTATATCCTATTGGTTTTTGACGACAACTCACTGTTATTGATTTAGCACCAAATTTATAACATTGTACAGCAATATCATCTGCAGAAAAACTACTACCAATAATTAATAAATTCTGATTTTTAAATTCATCTGCACCACGAAATTCATGTGAATGAATAACTCGACCTGGATATTGATCTAATCCATCAATAGCAATCATATTCGGCATATGGTAATGACCATTGGCTACAATAACACGATCGAATGATAAACATTCAAATGAATTTGTATTTAAATCTTCAATTTCAACAGAAAATTCTTTTTTATCATCATTAAAATCAACATGACGAACAGCTGTATTGAAACGAATAAATTGTCGAAGATTATTTGCTTTTGCTCTACCAATAAAATAATCATAGATAAGAACACGTGGTAAATGTGATGGTAGATAACAACCAAAATGATTATAGAATGTATAGTCAGGATATTCAAATAATTCTTTTGGATTGTTTGACCAAAGACTAAAGATAATTTTATTTTGTCTGAAATTTTCCATATATATTTATTACTTACTGACGATACATGCTTGAATGAACTGGTTCACCATTAACATCGATACCAATTTTTGATGTATACAACCATAGACCACCCCAATCCGATTGTCTGTCGAAACAGACTAATTCAACTTGTTGTTCTTGTTCAGCTTGTTTAAATGCTGATAATTGTGCAAGACCACATGGACCAGCACCAATAATTGCTATACGTAATTTACCCATGATTTAGATTCAAAAAAATACTCGACTAATCTAAAAGATATTCCTATTTATCTGTATTAATAAAATATACATTAATATGAGAATAATTTTTTTTATTACAGTTTGTTGCACTTACCATTTCTTATATATCATATAGAGTGGGTCAAATAGTATTAATCATTCTTTTATACTTGCTTGATAAAGTGTAATGAGAGAACGAAAGAAAAAGAAAAAATATATAACATAAAATATGATAGAAGACTACATTGAAAACAATACAAAAAAGTTATAATAGATCCAAACTAGGATAAAGAAACAGGCACAAAGTAATAAAACTAATAGTAATTGTTGTATTTAATGATTGGATAAACCGTTGTTATGATGTAATCCAATAATATTTTACATTTATTTCTTATCTATGAAATGAATCACCTTGAAGCACGCAATTCAATATAAGAATATAAACTGTATTTGTTTAAAACTTGATTAAATAAATCGATTTATAAATGTGAATATATATGTAAAATTTTATTAGACTGTGTTTTTTTCCACAATGAAAATAGTTTAATTCGTTGAATAAAATATAAAAAAAAACAATCAATCAAGTCCATAAGCCTTCATACAAAGTATCTGAGAGTGAGGAATCGAGTTTCTATATCGATTTGAATCATTTAATAGTCCATTTCTTCGACGAGAAAGATTTAAATACAAGTCAAGACACAAGCGTTACTTGACAATTATCTTTATTTCAATTCAAAAAATATAAATAGTAAAATAATTTCAAACTACGATTATATAGAAAGATTATTCCACCGATATATTTAAAATAATCTGTCTATCCTTTAAATAGATAGATTATAATATCCAATAAACATAAAATAAAATTTTGTTCTGATTGCTTCTTTTTTCTCCACTATAAATCAATTGATACACTTGAGTAAACATTGTAAAATAAACATGTTGCTTCAGTAAAGAAAAATAAGGTTACGTGTGCATAATATTTTATCATATGTCGATTTTCCTTATTCATATTTTCTTGATATCTTCAGCATTAACTTTAAAAATAAAGTTTAATACAAATCGTTATAATAACATAGTTATCTTTGGTGATTCATATTCAGATACTGGAAATACTTATAAATTAACAAATTATGTATGGCCTACTGTTCCACCTTATTATCAAGGTCGATTTTCTAATGGTCCTAATTGGGTTGATAGATTAGATATCAAACAGAAATTTAATTATGCTTATGGTAGTGCAACAACGGATAATAATTTTATAAAAGGTCATACACTTCTAAACACAATTGCCGTTCCAGGTATTCGTCAACAAGTTCAAATGTATTTAAATCATACTGATAAAAATACAATTACTCATAATCGTACACTCCACATTATATGGGCTAGTGGAAATGATTTTGTTTTCGATCATACTGTAACACCAATACAAATTATTCATAGTTTAATGAATTCAATTAAAGATTTATTAGCTGTTGGTGCAAAACATTTTCTTATATTTAATCAAACACCTGTACAAACACTTCCATATGTCAATAGATTTCATCAATCAATATTTTTTACTTTATTGACAATCCTAACTAATAATATTCTATTCGAAAATCTTAATACAATACAAAAATCTTATCCAACAAGTTCTATACAAATATTTGATACATATTCATTGCTGACAAAAATCATTGCAAATCAATCTAGGATGAAGTTTTCAAATACTATCGATCGATGTTGGAAACAATTTAATACTACAACAGTGATAGAATTATGTCAAGATCCAACAAAATATGTTTTTATAGATAATTTTCATCTTACAACTAATGTACATGAATTAATTGCTGAGGCTATAGAACCATTTTTATCACTTAAATATTCATAATTTTATTATATAAAAAAAAATAAGATCTCAAATAATATTTTGTAATTTAATTACAATATAGATCTAGATTATTATATACAAATACAAGTCTATAGAAACCACATATCATCAGCCACTTTCTCATCTAAGATCATTAATTTTGTTTTGATATCATCAAGAGTATAATTCTCAAGTTCTTCATTATCATCATCGAGACTATAACAAAAAAAACAAATTCGAATAGGTTAATAAAAATAAAATTTACAAATGTTTATATTTCTAATACCTATCTCTTTCATGATCTTCATCAGATTTAAGTGCACGTGATGCATAAGCTGCTAAATGAGCATAATGTACAGGAGCTGGAATTGAAACAGATTTTGTACAACGCATATCTGTATGACATAACTAGAATAGAATTTAATTATATAAAATTTTTTTTCGTCAAAAATAAATTTACCCAATAGGTGAGTTGTTGAATATCATCACTACTAAATTGATTATCGTCATGGAGAACATGATATAAAGCCGGACGTGATGTACCCATACTATTACGATCAATAAATTAAAAAAAAAAGAAATAAGAAAATATAAATGACTTACATTGCAGCTTGTGAGCATAGATAGAAATCAAATTGAGAAGGATGTGTAATACCTTCATCGATAACAGTACCTGATTGAACATTTAATGTTTCTTTATTTTCATAAAGAAAGAAACGTGTATTGTGACGTTTCTTTACAACAATAAAGGTTAGTTGTGGTAATGGTCTTTTACCATAAATATCTAATATAAAAGATGGATTGTTTTATAAAATATTAATTTTCATTATGACTTACTTCGACATGCATGTTTTATTTTAGTGACTTCGTTATCAAGTACTTTTTGATATTGACCTTCATCGACACCATCTCGATAAAATATAATTTTATTGGGAAGATAACCACCATGATGTTCAGCAAATAGTTCAATTAATTGACCAGTCATTGTCTCTAATTCTTTAATTATTTCAACTGAACAACGTCCTGTTTTCGGATATTCTATACAAAAAGAAAAAGAATAAGTGATACTGATGTAAGAGATAAACATACGTTCACAAAGACGAGCTGCATATAGATTATTTGTCGTATCACAGGAACCAACAACAGCAGCAATCGATGGACGATCTGTTGAACAAGTAGAATGAGTTACCTAATGAAGAAAACAGGTAGATCTATTAGAAATCTTTCTTTTCATCTATAACTTACATCAGCTCCAAAGAACATAAAGAGATCATCTTTTGAAGAATGACTAAGGGCTGATTTAAGGTTGATTATACCATTGATACCACCCAATTTTCCATTGATTTTTTGACTAATATTTTCAACATCTAAATTATTAAAATTTAGTATCCGTTTTTTTTTCTTATATTTATACTTACACATTCCAAGATTGTTTATGTTTCGTTTTAAAGCTTGAAAATTAACACATTGAGTCATCAATCCAATAGTTCGATTTCCATAACGTTTGACAAGTTCATAGACTCTAGTTGAATCATAACTATTGAGAATAACGATAGCCAATTGCCATTGTTGTTTACTAGCATTACATAAAGTTTCCGTAATTTCCCTGTCTGCTATGCCTTTGATTGTTAAAGATGGCACGTTATTTATTACAAAACCATTGCGTTCCAGTAACTGAAAAAAAAGAAGAATTTAAAATATTAATAAAATAAATCAGAAAAATATTACATTAGGTAATTCATGTTGAAAATTTTCAAGAATACTTCGTATATTTTTATCTGGTTTATCACCAAAATAAATCATTCCCCATGTATGAATCTCAGGTGTTGAACAAAACCAATTACGAATTCGCCATTTCCCACCACGAACATATTCAATTGCATCTCGTTTACCTTGAGAACGATATTGAATTTGAGGTGATGGTATAATACGTGCTATATAATAAATAATACAAATTTTCTATCAAAGATTAAAACAATAATTACCTTTCAATTTAATCATTTCTTTATCATCAACACGTATATTTAATTCTTTTAGATACGGATCTCTATCAAATCGATTATTTCCGACAATTTTCATAATTTCCTCGTAACGTTGTACTGGTTTAAGAATTGTATTTTTCGAAACAACACCGCGTTGTGTTTTATCCAATGGTTTTATCGCACGTTGCCATTCAACTATCTGAAATTAAAAAAAATGAAAATTATTATTTATTTCAATTATTTTATTTACCGCCACCATCTCCATCGGTAACCAATTTGGTTTATTTTGATTTCCTTTTATTGCATTAATACAAGGTAAATCTGGAAATTGAAGTCTTCTATGTTTTTTAGCAAAATAATCTGCAACAGTAATTTCTTCAACTGACGCGGTAGCAGTTGTTTCATTATTATTATCTCCACAAGAGAATTTGAGTTGATTGGCAGGACGACCAAATTCACGAAATCGGTAAAAAATTTTTCGACCTGTATGCATTGTTTCAACTAATAGAAACAAAAAAATGAATAAAAACTAAAAATGAATTAAATCAAACATACTCTGTAGATTTCGAATAATTTTTCCCAAAACTTTTAAATCATTTTGAGTTAGATCTGTCGTGATATCTTTTCGTAAGTATTGACTAGCAAAATCAACAAATTTTAATGGCATATAAAAACATGTAAATGTTAAATTAATATTTAATGTTGGTCCGTATTGTGTGAGAAATAATGCTTGATAAAATCCTTTTGCCATACCACGACCATCACCTATAAATATATATAAGAAGAATTATTTTGATAAAAAAGAAATAAATTTACCAAGATCATCGAGTTGTCGACGTCGATCATAAAATTGATTTCGAATACATATAAAATCATTATGAGCATGTTGTTTAAATAATATTTCAATACTTCGAACTGTTTCATGAGGTCGAATTGTTGTTTTTTGTTGAATAAATTTATAGATATTTTCGATATTATCTTGTCGAACGAGATTTAATTTATTCAATTGAAAAATTTTCATGTCTTCATTTTTTCCCAGTTTAAATTGCATTGGTAATGTTATTTCAGGTAATATTTCTCGAGAATATAAAGTTTTTCCTTCATCATACCTAAAATAAAGATAAGATTTAATCTATAGAAATCAAACAAAATTACCATATAATTGGAAAATCTTTTTTTTCTTTAATTATTGTTTGTATCACTTCCCATCGATCATCTTTACGTGCGAAACGTATTTTTCCATATCGATCGATCATAACAATATCAACATCGTATTGATAAACAATAACTTTATCGATATCAACACGAAAATGATTTGTGTATACGTCGATATGTTGACCATTTTGACCACCTTTATCAGGACGACGAATTGGAGTTAAGACTGCTGTATCAGGTACTGCAGAACATAAAGTACGACGAGCATTTGATGGACGAACACTTTGTGAACGAGAAGTTCTTGGCGATGCTGTATCAATCGATAAATTTCTCATTGATTCATTCAGTGCTGGAAATGCACTAGAAGAACGTTCACCTGAATTGAAAGTTTGAGACGAATTTTGCCATGTAGATCGTGAAGATGCACCAGCAACTCCTCCCGATGGTCTTGAATTGCCTCGAACTAGAAACAAATTAAAAATAATTACAACAAATTTACATCTAAATTTTGATATTTATTACGTTTACGATAGCCACGTGCGGACATACTTTAGATTTTCTTCGCGGATATTTGCCTAGATAGAATTAAAATTATTTTATATCTTTACTAAAAGAGAAAATAAATCTTATCTACCTTCGTTTAAAAAGTAATTGATTGTTATTTGTTATAACAATGTAAGATCTGAAACATATATTAGAAATAAAAAGAAAAACGCGTTTATATCTTTGTTTATATAGTAGAATCGCTGGGTATTCCAGTGGGAAAAAACCCAATGTCCTTGAGATGAAAAGGATGACTCATCATATAAACATCGCTGTGAGAGAGAGAGAGAGAAGTATTACAACAATAGCAGAAGAAGCAAAACTATGACAACATAAGCACAGTACAACATCTAGAGCATTGATTATTTTTAAAAAGCTGTTTTTCTAATAAAATGAACACTTCTATCAAATTGAGCTTTTTCTTCTATAACACATAACTAATTTTTGATTGCTAGAGTTTAACAGTAGAAGCAAAGAAGCAGACACATGATGGAAAGTTTAACGTTCTTCTATTCTTTTTTTTTCTTTTTGCCATATATAAAAAAAAATGATTACTTATTGACAATGATGCTTTTTTTCTCTCTTACTCAATGTACTATCACGTTTCATAGTTTTACTATATCATTTAGATAGTATCTTCCTTTCTGAACATACAAGTTCCTACAATGAATGTGGACATACTGATGATAATTCATTCGGTAGATTTTAATCAAGTATTTGCTGTGTGCCATGTGCGTTTTTTTATCGACGTATATATTCTTGTTTTGAGTAGGAGAAAAAAAAGAAATACAGAATGACTCATCTTTTTTTTCTCCACCGTGTATTACAAAGAAGAAAAAGAACGATACAATGACGCTTTTTTTTCTCCTTCGTCATGCTTTCATATGTTTGTTTTTTGCTATATCATTATGACAAATACATCGATAGATTTGCTTATATAAATGAACGTCGTTCATACTTTAAACATACAAATTTCATAGTTAAATAATGTCTTCAAAAATCGAAATTATTCGACGACCTTCCAATGAACGTGGAAATGCTGATCATGGTTGGTTAAAATCTTTTCATACATGGTCATTTGGATCTTATCATGATTCAAGTGTTCCTCGTTATGGTTCACTTCGAGTTTTAAATGAAGATCGTGTTCAACCAACAACAGGTTTTGATCCACATCCTCATCAAGAATATGAAATATTTTCATATATTGTTGATGGAGAATTACAACATAAAGATTCAATGGGTAATAAAGAAATTATTCATCGAGGTGAAATACAATTTACATCAGCTGGAACTGGTATTCAACATTCGGAATATAATGTTCATAAATCATTATGGGTTCATTTTATACAAATATGGGTTAAACCAAATCAATCAAAACTTAAACCATCATATACAACAAAAAAATGGTCAGATAATGATAAACTTAATAAACTTTGTTTATTAATTGATGATATTAAAAATTCAAATGAAAATACAATTGGAATTCATGCATCATTATCAATGTATGCAAGTATTTTAGAATCAAATAAATCAGTTAAACATATATTTACAAGACCAAAAGGATATATTCATTTAATTATGCGAAGTGGATATGAAATAAAAAATGGAGGAAAACTTCAAATTGGTGATGTTATTTTAGAGGAAGGTGATGGTGCATTTATCAAGTCTAATAAAGACAATAATGAAATATTAATTGAAAATATTGGTTTAATCAATGTAGAATTTTTATTATTTGACCTTGAATAAATATTTCAATCACGCAATACATCTTATAAACATTATTATTGTTAAAAATATATATACTAATAATAACAATTTATGTTAATACTATGCATAAAAAGTAATAAAATAAAATTTCTTAAGAATTACACAAATCTTTTTATTATATTTGACTACTTCTAATAGTCTTAACATAATGCTCGTTCTGTTTCATTCTCGTTGCTAGAGAAAAGATTTTTTCAACCAGTAGTTAATTTTGGGGGTCGCTAGAAGTACTAGACACAGACAATATTTGTATGAGAAACCTGTATAGATAAGTAAAAGAGATAGAAAAATACCAAAGTCAATAGAAACAAAGTTATATTAATGTATTGTTTTATTATGTTGTTTTCATTTGTCTACGAAATCTAACCAACAAACGTTGACTTTAATATTTTTTTATTTTCGAAACGGAGCGGCTGATGTAGACACATGACAAATATAAGTAAAAATAAATGTGAGTAACTACGCCGTTTTCATAAGCATTGTTTAGAGTAAGATAAAAAAAGATTTTTTATTACGCACAAAAATATTATTATTATTATCGTCAAAAAATAAATCTTGCCTTTTTAGATTTAATTCTTTAGAAATGTTACAATTTCCTTTACCTCATGAAAAAATACTTCCTAGTGATATCAAAATTGTGCGACCTTCGTCTAAGCCTAATAATCCTGAGGTTCTTGATCGAATCAAAGGCTCATTAGTTGGATTAGCAGTTGGAGATGCTCTCGGAGCTAGTGTTGAATTTCGCCCTCGACAATATCTTCTTGAACATCCAGTTCATGATATGAAATCTGGCGGTACGTGGGGTTTAGATGCAGGTCAGTGGACAGATGATACTTCTATGGCTCTTTGTCTTGCTTCATCACTTATCAGTCGAAATGATTTTGATCCCTATGATCAGATGGTTCGTTACAAATGGTGGCATAAACATGGTTATTTATCTTCTACTGGACAATGTTTTGATATTGGTAATGCCACGCGTGCATCAATAGAAGAATTCTACCGTCGACAGAACGAATTAAAAAGAAAATATAAGATACATACGGATTTGGAAGTTGATCAATTGTCACCTGAGTTGCTTAAGAAAGAGAAATTCGATGTATACTGTAGTCGACAAGGTGTTGCTGGAAATGGAGCTTTGATGCGACTGGCACCTGTTCCTCTCTTTTTCTATCAAGTACCTCCTCTTGCTGTCGAGTTATCTGGTCGAAGTGGTCGTCTTACACATGGTGATGACGTAGCTATCGATGCATGTCGATATTATGGAGCACTAATAGTTGCTGCTGTTCGCGGCGAGTCTAAAGAAAAACTACTTGACGAATATTTTTATGATGATCATCAAGTTTGGTTTGGAACATACCCACTTCATGAGACTATAGTTAACATTGCAAGAGGATCTTTCAAAAAAAGAAGAGGTTATGATGATGGAATTCGAGGTAAAGGACATATTGTTTGGACACTCGAAGCAGCACTATGGGCATTTTGGAGTACAGAATCATTTGATGCAGGTGCACTTGCTGCTGTTAATCTAGGTGACGATACAGATACGACAGCTGCTATTTATGGTCAATTGGCAGGTGCATTCTATGGCTATCAAAATATTTCACCAAAATGGAGAAGTATATTGTATGCTCGTGACTTAATTACATGTATCGCAGAATGGACAGAGTATTTAAGTTACTCAGAAAATAAAATAGCTGGACATGAACGAATAGCCAGAAGCCGAATTTCATCAGTTGATCGAAGCCAACAACAAGGTCGTATAAATTTGGTGCAGCCGAATGAGAGTGGTTCAGCTAATAATAATAAATCAAAACCACCAGCGAAACCTGACAATCATAGCAAGCCTAAATCGAAACGAGGGAAGTCTGAACAAAGACCTAAGGCTCATAGAAAGTTTCATTTATTATGTGTAGGTGCTCTACCGATCGATGATTAAAACAAATCAACTTCAGCAGTCAAGACAGTCATCGCACATACATTTTTTCATATCAGTAACATCAAAGCTCTGCTTCGAAATGATCAATTACGATAAATTGTCAACACTGTATAAATAACTGATTCAATTTTTATACCAAATTTTTTGTAATAGATATTTTATAAATAAAATGCAAACTGCAAACATTCGAATTGAAAAAAAAATACCAAACAAATCATCGATAGATATTATTTCCTCTTTTTATTCTAATTTAGTTTAAATAAATAACAATTGTAGATAAATCATGTTTCTAAATGACAAATACTTTTGAATATTCTTTCGAAATTTATTGAACTCTTTTTTATATCAATATCTAACTGTTGAAGATTATTTCTTGGATCATGACGTGCATTGAGCAAAAGTTTGATTCCTTTCTTACGAATTGGATTACTACGCACTTGTAAACAAGTTAATATTGTATTTGTATTAAACATTTCAGCTAAATATTGTACACCTATATCTGTAATAGAATTGTAATTTAAGCCAAGTAAAGTAACGGAAGAATTATTAAATGCAAGTGCTTGTGCCAGAATTTGCACACATTTATCATCAATGTTGGCTCGAAAAAAATGTAGTTCTTGTAATGTTGTATTGTTTGGTAATGCTAAAACTAGATTTGATATAAATTCAACATTAAGAGAATTATTATCTAATAAAAGTTTTGTACATTGTTTGTCGATAATTGCTTGTTTAATTATAATAGGTACATCATTAACAGTTAAATTTTGATATGTTAAATTCATTTGTGAACGTAATAGATGTGAAGCAATTTGTCTTTCAAGTTTTGAATTACGATAAAGTGTATCTGATAATGTATTCATTGGTGTTACTGTTGATGTAAATTTTTTCATAGAAGTAATTGACTCATGAATTTGTTTGAAAATAATAGGGAATGTAATGAGAGGTGATGATTTATTATATTCTTCGAATTGAATAATATCAAGATCATTTCTTCTATCCACATATTTAGTAAATTGAAATTGTGTTGGCATAAGGAGAATTTCATTTTTATCAGAATTAAAAATATGTCTTTCAATAAATTTTGCATTATGACATTTGAATTCTAAAATTGTTCTATTTCTTGTCGATTTTTGTGATAAAGGAATGGATAATGAACAAAATGTGAAGTCTCGAAAAACAATAAAATTTTCTTTTAAATTCTTATTTTTAATTAAATCCTGTTTTATATCTTGATAAAACGTAATCTCAATTGAAGGAAGTCGATGAAGAGCTGAAAATAAAAGTTTTAAATAAAGATTCCATGGTTTTAATTTTTCTACATCATGACTACGAAGAATTGTATTAAGAATAAAATATAAACATTCATCATCTGGTTTCCATCTCATTGAAAAAAGATATATTGCAGCTGATTCATCAGATGAAAGACCATCTGATGGATTTTGACAGTTTTGTTTTGCTTGTTGAACTTTTCTAAGAATTTTTGGTATACATTCAACAAGAGGTTTAACAGCATCTTCTAATGAAATAACAGAATTTATTGTATCTTTATAAATTGGTAAGCAGATTTGTTGTGGTTCTTGAACGATATCTAATGTGTTATATCTATCTCCAGCTGTCGTGTTGTCAATGTATACAGACGTCATTTACCTTTTATAATAATATTAAAATGAAACTGTGGTTGATATGATAACAGTAAAATTGTTCTCTTTTTCTTGGATAAATAATTTACATGGCAACTATGAGTCATTTCTTTTCCCAACATAACTTACGCAACAAAAAGAAATAAATACGTTCTTCTCGTCATCATCATCGATTAGTCATATTTTATTGTACTTGAAAGTCAATGACTAAATGATCCTTATAGGATTTAAACATGAAATAATAAATAGTTGATATGATTCATCATAAAAGACGAGTGGGTAATTTTTGAATAGCTTTCAATAGGAACAAATAGTCTTAGGAAAATGTTTTCTATATAAATTTCGATGCCTACGTGTAACGCAATAGTATTTATCAACATGGTATAAACCCCCCCCTATAATAGAAGCCCACCCCATATTAGAAGCCCCCCCGTATTAGAAGCCCACCCTGAGATGAGCAACGTGATTGGCGTATTAGAAGCCCCCCTAATTTTTCAAAATTTTTTTTAAATTTTTCATAATTTTTTCGAATTTCCCTGCTAAAGTTGCTAAAATTTCTCGATTTTAAGGTGAAATTTCGACTAACTCCTATCTAACTATGCTTAAATCTGGAAAAATTACAAAAAATCTTCTGAAAAACTCATGAAAACCTTGAAAATCTCTAAAAACCTTCCGAATCGGTTTCCTTATCATAGTCTATGAAAATTTTTTGGGACTTAATAGAAGCCCCCTCCAAAAATTATAAACGGTAGCCAAATTAGAAGCCCAGGGGGCTTCTAATATGGGGGGGGGTTTACTAAATACCATACTTATGTCAACAAGTAATAATATTGATTCAATCTCTACTATCAATAAAACATTGGTTAATAAAAAATATTTTGTATAGGATAGATGTATGTATTATATAATAATATAAATGGTTAAAAATTCCTATGTTATATATACTTTGTTAGAAAATATTGGATTTAACAAGAATAAAATAAACAAAAAAAAAATAAAAAACGAAGATGTTAATTAACTTAGAGCTATATTTTTATATAATGTTAAAATGATTAATTAAAAATAAGCGTGAATAATATTTTTTTCTACAAGCATATCGTAAATAATATTGAATTTTATTAATTAAATATATTTTGTGTAACTGCTGATGGTGCTGATTTACCGAAACGTTCTAATCGAATTTGTTCACCTCTATTTGTACGAATAATTAATTGTTCTTCACCATGAACTTCTAAATTTTGTATATTAGATATTAAACTACTAACAGCTTCTTCTCGTTTCATTTCTTCGGGTGGACCAAGCATCATTGTTGACATTACATGAGATGTTTTCCATTGATTTGATGAGGAATTAAATTCTAATCGACAATTTAAACTATTAACAACATGTGCATGAAGATGATAATTATTTTTATTATCATCTTGTTGTTTAATTTCAAATTGACAACCATCACATTCAGGATGTTGTGGATAATCAACAATTTTCCAATCACCTTCAATACCATTAAATTGTAAGCCTGTACGATTTAATCTTGATGGAATTTGTTGTGATCGAGAAATTTTAACTTGACCGTTTGCATCAAAACTAACAACTAGAAAAAAAAAGAATCTTCATAAGATAAATATATATAGAGAGGGATTTATCTTACCAGGATATAATGGTTTTGGATAGGGTGATTGAATATGAAATGCTAAACCCAATGGACGATCATTATGAAAAAGATACATTTTTAAATCTTTATCATTTAATTGTAATAATATTTCAACTTTGTCACCTTTTTTTATTTCATTACCAAATGATTGAACTAATAGACTACTACCATCTGATAGATTACCTAAATATTTCATTGCTTTTAAACCCCATCCATGTTTAAAACCTTGATCAGTTGTTAGACCAACAGATATCATTCCACCACTTTTTTCATCTAAATCTTTAATATTAATTTGCCAAAAATATTGTCCATTTTTCTCAGCTGGATCTTTAAACATAACATTTATTGGACTACGATATCCACTATTACTTTGACATGTTATTGTATCACCATTAACATTAACATCAGATGTATTTTCACTTTGTTCAACTATCCACGACATAATTTTCGAATAAAAAAATCTAAGAGAAATGAAAAGGTATAAAAATAATTTGCTATTTATATAGTAATAACAAAAAAACAAGTCATATAAATCAGTGATTGCATTTTATTGGTGTGCTAAAAAAAGAAATAGGAAAGCAGAATAATCTATTTGACAAGATTGATTGAGTTTATAATACTAATGATATTGATAAAGTTTTTCGATAGAGAAAAAGAAAAAAAGAATAACGGTATAAGAGGAGATGAATGAATCATTTTATGAGACGTCGTATACTCTTTTTTTTCTATTAGTAATATGAAACAAAACAAAATGTGAAAGATGATCTATCGTGAATAGTTTAGTAAATATTTAAAACGAAAACGATATATGAATGATCATGAGTAAAAATATCGAGAATGTTCATTGATTAAAAAAAATTAAGGAATAGTAATGTAGGTAACTATCGTAACGAAAGATGGCGTATATTAACAGCTAGTTTCAATACTGTCTACAGATTAGAATGGTAAATTTGATATGTTGATTTTTCAATCGTCGTCTATGTGAAGCTCTGCATTAAATACAAATATTTTCTTATGTTAAACAATGAATAGAAAGATATTTTTCTTAAAAATATTTTTTTTCATTATATTAAATTATTATTATTTAGAATTTATATTTGTAAAATTTCGAAACGACAGTTTGATTATACATCGTATGTAACCTCCATGGCATGAAGCAAATCGGCAATAAGAAGGAGAGATGAAACTAGATAATCAGAACCCATAAATAAACACTTGTCTAGAATCGATTGGAACTATTCAATTAAAAAAATAAGAGATCATTATTTGAGATTTACATATATAAGTGAACTTGAAATAAATGTTGAGAATTTGTTAGTAACGAACGTTTTCAATAGAGAAAGATAAACATTCTGATAAATTTTTTTGTCGAATCGAATATGTTAATAGAATATTTAAAACATCATAAATTATCAATACTTTATTGCTACATTTAAGCACTTTTAGAAATGTATCAAAATCTAGTTTGATATTAAACGTATAGATAAAAAGAAATAAAGTTATTTTTAATTCATCTTGTGTTTGAATAATAAAGATAAGTCTATAATAACATCGTTCTATTATAAAAAGATTTGTTTTTCTTTCTTTATTTATTAAAACAAAATAATATATTTAGCTACATCTACATATGTATGTTTTAAAAAAAAGTAAAATATTTAAACAGAGAATAGATAGAGGTCACAGGTAAGTAGCAAAACAGAACTCATTATACTATTTGTTATTTTATTGTTGTCATAAATGAATCATAAAATCTCATTATATAAATGTTGTCATGTCAGGTGACTGAAGAATGATCTCTATACATAATTTCACAACAAAAACATATACCTTCTTACATTTAACTAATATATTATATGAAATAAAATTTTAAAAAATATTGTGTTTTAATTATGTCATTATTAAAAAATGTAAAAATTCTTATCTATGATTTACCAAATCTTCCAACGAGTGAATTAAATGATTTCATGATACATTGTTCAAATATTAGTCATTTTGTATCTCAAGGACAAAAATATCAAAATTCTATTCTGATTATAGTTTGTGCATCGAACAAACTTTCTCATTTAGTTCCTGAATTATCAACAATAAATTTCGATTATTTATATATTCTAAATATTGGTGAAAATATCAATGATATTATTCAAAATTTATTATTAAAAACAACATTTGTTTTTAGTGACAAGGAGTTAATGCGTCATTTATGTACAAAAACTGCACTTTGTTATCATAGTGAAGGTACAAAACATAAACAAAATGGAAATAATGTTATTGCTAATATATGTTTTCTGGATTCAATGCGTACGATGGAATGTGCAACCATGTTTATTTAATATGATTATTCTCGATACGAAATTATATTTTTGTTTATTTGTTAATATTAAATATTATTACAGATAAATTATGTATTTGATATACACAACTTAAATTTTTTCTAATCCTATTTGTGGATGATCAGTCAATGAAGTATCGTTTAAAAGATGTAAAGCTCGTCTAATATAACCATTTCTATATTCTTGTTCATTTTCAATTAAATTTACTACTTCTTTAACTATTTCTGATATTACTAATGTAGTTGCTTCTTGACGATTTTGACATGCATCGTCTTGAATAAGGAAACCTTTTTGTGATGGACTCCATAGAGCATGCTGTAAATTAAATATTGTTGCCCATCGATGAAAATTAAATGATAATTTTCTACAACCTATCGGATTAATTTCATAAAGAATAGTACCAGGTCTCATGAAAATTGTATTGGCTAAACCTGCACCATGAACACCGATCATAAGACGAATTGATCGTGCCATTTGTGCTGTTTTATATAGATCATCTTTGAAATTAAATTGTTTTGGCCATACACGTAAATAAGGATTTGTATGATCAGGAAATACTTTTAATAGAGCATCAACTAATTCATCTGCATTAGTTATTTCACGTCGACCACTACCTACACGATTGATAACAACAATCCAATCTCCAGTAAATTCTTTTTCGTTATATTCTGATGATTTCGACCATTTTGGTCTACAAATTGGATCACAAATAGGAATTAGTTCGGACATGTGATTTTGCTGTAATTGTTCTTGAGTCGACGTTAATTGAAATTTCGATGGTAAATTAAGATTTTTTAATAACCATTCTGAATAAGCAAGATAATTTCGTCGATATTGCCGTGTATGAAATGGATGAAAACGAAATGATCTCGATACACTATAATAAAAGTCCCATGCAGGTGTTCGACTTACTTGATTACCAGTAGTTATAAAATATTTAAACATAACTGTTGTTTCATTAAATGATTTATAGATTAACAATGGATAATCTGAAAACATTGATTGAATTGTTGCAGACCATTTAACTGTATCTCGATAAGTTCCATCCGATTGTCGATCATATAATCGCCAATTACGTATACTAGTATTGAACATATGAGATGTATAATAGATTTGAAATTGACTTGAATTAATAAATAAACCATTCGATTGAAGTTCAGATAATACCCAAAAACGAGGACCGAATGTTTCGAGAAGACCATGAGCATAATTTGGATCAATGGGTCCACCAACATAAATGGGTCGTATGAGAACAGAAGAAATAATTAATTTTTTTATTTCTAGAATATCATTAAGGATATTTAGTGTTAATTTACCATATGAAACATCAAGTTCAATAGTTTTTGTTATTATTTGAATATCCGCTGGATTTTGATAATAATAATATTGATCAATTGCTGAATTATAATAAATATTTGTTAATAAACAATATTCAATTCCTGTACTTAATTCTTGATTAGATGTATTCGAACATTTCCTAGTAGAAAATGGATATTGATTCCATGTATTCTTTTTTATAAATTTGATATAATTATAATTCAATGAACGTTTTCCTTGAAAAATATTTTGCTCATTTTTATTACGAATTAATTTAAGATATAAATTCATTTCTTTATACAACGATGATGAAGTTATCCATCCAACATGATCATTAGTAAAACTAATCGGTGTAGTATATATCAATTGAGAAGTTGTGGAATTCTTTGTAAAGTATAAAACAATAAATAATGAACCTATAGTCATACAAGAAATAAGAAATATCTTTTTACTACCAATATTGTTAAACATTGTATTTAAATGTACAAAATTTTTCAAAAAAGGTGCGTTTATTTGTTCGTTCTGTCGTCACATGGATTTAAAAAAATGTATGATGCCAAATGAATTTTTTTGTTGTCCTTGAAAAGATTGAAGTATAGATGTCTGTCAAAGTTAGTAACATCTACATTTGTATGTGAAATATTTAAACAGAGAATATATAGAGGACTCAGGTAAGTGACAAAGGAGAACTCATTACTATTTGCTGTTTCTATCAATGAATCATTGAATTTCATTTTTTTTCCTTCTTATTATTAATCAACGCTTTGTTATTTTCGTTGGATCATGTCAGGTTTAGTTGTGATAAATCCAAAAAGTGCAAAAATTCTTATTTTCGATTTACCAAATCTTCCAACAAATGAATTAAATAATTTGATAATACATTGTTCAACAATTAATCATTTTGTATTTCAAATAGAAACATACAAAGATTGTATTCTTATTATTGTTTGTGCATCTGATAAACTTCTACAGTTAGTTCCTGAATTATCAACTAGAAATTTCGATTCATTATACATTCTAAATATTGGTGGAAATATCAATGGGATAATTGGAAATTGGTTATCAAAAACAACAACTGTCTATAGTGAAAAGGAATTAATGCGTCATTTATGTACTAAAATTATGCTTTGTTATTATAGTGAAGGCATTGAACATAAACAAAATGGTGATAATGGTATTGCTAATACTTGTTTTCTGGATTCAATACGTGTATTGAAACTTGCAGCCATGTTTATTTAATATTTATATTTATTACTAAATTTTTGTAGATACGAAATTTTTTTTTTCTGTAAATACTTTATTCAGATTGAATATAGTCTGGCGTATCTAATTCTTGTGAAATAAAAAGTGCGTTAATAAAAATGGAGAAAGAAATTTTTTTTGTTTACAAGAAAAGAAAAAAAACCGACAGAACGGTAAGTGTTGCTATGCGAGTAACATAAAAGAAAAAGAAATGGCAACCTATATTTTAACAAAGAATTATTTTTAGAAAAATAAGCAACGCAAAACTGACCTAAATAATTTATATGATCCATTTTTGAAAATTACAATTGTTTGATGATTTCAAATTCTAGATCATGGGACAACGTCAATCAACAACAATAGCACCAATAGAATCTCCACAAGTTGATCTACCAGTAAAAACATTAAAATTTGAAAATAATTCAACATATACTGGTTAAGTTAATGAAAAAAATCAAAAACATGGTCATGGTAAATTAATAGTGCCTGGTAAACTGGAATATATTGGTCAATTTCAAAATGGAGATATGCATGGTTTTGGAAAAATGATACATACGAATGGTACCGAATATGAAGGTGAATATAAACATAATAGATGGGATGGACATGGCAAATTAAAATATCCAAATTGGCAGATTTATAGAGGTGAATTTCAAGATGGATTAAGACATGGTCATGGTGTTCTATATAATTCAGATGGTACAGCAAGACGTAGTGGACAATGGAAATATGGTGAAGCAAGTCATTGTTGTGGTTTATGTTAAACTATATTATTTGATAGAACATTAAATTTTGTTATATTAATGAACTACAATGTTTTATCTTGACTTTTGCTAAAGGTGTTCGATTAAAATTCATTGATAAATATCAATATAAAGACTTTCTACGTACGTAGAAAAAGTTTCGCTATTCCGAGTTAGATACTATCAAACAAGAATGGGTTCAGAAAAATGAATGATCATTATTTTATGTAAATGATCAGTTATTAAAAAAATCTTCAGTTGTTTACGAACAGTTGTAAAAATGAGGAGGAGGATTAGGTCGTCATCACCAGTAAGTGCATCTCTCTTCAATCTTACACACACCCACTCTCTAGAAGTAAAGTCTATATTTTTGTTTTGTGATGAGAACAGAATCATATGTTTATATCAGTAAATCATTCTCTCGGCGAAATTTGAAAAAAAACTTGGTGATAATAATTTCAATCGATTTTACATAAGGCTATCAATAATAAATAAAAGAATTATTACTGATTGAGTTGCTATATGAAATATATGTATACATTTAAAAAAACCGATACTTTTAAACTGTGTTTTGCTTCTTCCTTTTCTTGTCGATATATTTATACAATTGAAAAATTGGCCAAAGTATATTTGCTTTATTCATTCTGTTTTATACGAGCAAAATATGTCAATCGTGTAATTTATTATACTATATACCTGATACTGTCGAAGTATGTCAGTCATTCGTTCTTTGGCAATGACAAAAAAAATCATATACAGTGAATACTTATGAAAATTAACTTTTTTCACCAGTTATTTTGTTTTCAAGACGATTAAATAAATTATTTCTAATATTTTGAATATTGTAAAAACGGAAGTATATTATTCGTGACTATTCAGTTCTAAAATTTACTGATATTATAATAAGTACGATATAAATCATGTCTACGACTAATACATCAATTCATCAAGTACAAAATGTATATTGATTTTAAAAGTACATCAAAAGATTTTATTGACATATGGTTTATTTTTGGCATAGCGGTCTTCGACGAAATGTATGGCCAGACAGCTTATCGGAAACTTCCAATATTAACAAATAAATAAATAATCACGCCAAAAAACGTTGGTATATAAACTGGAGTCGATTGTGTTCTCTCTATCATTCTTATTTTTGATTTAGGGTATTCTTTTTACATAAAGGTAAATGAATATTTAGTAATAATATAGTATCAAAAGTCTATCATAGACAAAAACCACAATAATTATACGTGTATATATCTATTATACTTAAATAGTTACTATAGATAATCTTAATGATCTGGTTCAAAGTTTTCACAATTGCGCTAATAATGGCTCTTCGGATGCTGCTAGAACGTTCATTGATGCAGCAATAGGTGTCATACAGAATTCATGGGCTGACGCACGAACTCCTGAAAGAGAGTCAGATAGTTATGGTTCATCAAAATAACATTATGATAGTGTAAGTTGTAGGAATTTTGTATTGATTTTAATATGATTTATCTATCTTTTAGATTTCAATGAAATCCGTAGGTGTTATTTCTTTTACTCATCATTCTATGATTAACTTAGTTAGGTGCAATGCATTATTACTTCATTTTTGTTTTGATGAAATTCAGTTGCTCTATGCTCATTGTATATGATTCTATGAAGAAGACAGTTAAATAATTCTTTTATGAATTTAATGAAATTTTATTACTTTTTTTGTAAATATATTCTTGCTTATCAATATTATCATTATGGTGATCTGATAGATAAATTAATAAAATATTTTATTATATCAATAGCTAGTTTAAATACATAGTAGAATGATGAGCATGTACGTGAATAGAAATGAAAAAATGCAAAATAAATGGAACAAAACTATAGTGATAGTATAGTCTAGCTACTATAAAAATATTAGGTTTAATAATTCAAATTAAGAAGAAATAGAAAACAAAGTAAAGATAGATAGTATAAAACAAAGGGTATGAAGACTCTACTTTTATTACTACTATTATTAGCACTTTGATTATATTGTATTAGATATGTACGATTATTTCCGTCTTCACTAAATAATAAACTTCCATCTTTTAAAACTAATAATCCAACTGGACGTCCAAATGTAGCTGGTCCAGATGCATTTGTTAAAAATCCATATAAAAAATCTTCATATGTGCCTAATGGTCGATTTGTTGCATTATCAAATGGAATAAATATAATTTTATATCCAGTTCCATTATTTCGATTCCATGAACCATGAAATGCAGCAAATGCACCATTTTGATAACGATTTGGAAATTGAGTACCTGTATAAAAACGCATATCAAGAACAGCTGAATGTGCTTGAAATAAAACATCAGGCGTTTTTGTAATTGATACTAAATCAGGTCGTTCACTTGTTCCATTACTAAAACATAAACGTGGATCAGTTAAATTTGAACTTAAATATGCATATGGCCATCCATAAAAATCATTTTCATTTACACGTGTAAAATAATCAGGTACAAGATCATCACCAAGTCCATCTCGTTCTTGACATGTTACATAGAGATCATTTGTTTTTGGATGAAACGCTAAACCAACTGCATTTCGAAGACCATATGCATATGTTGTTTGATTACTACCATTTTGATTAGCTTGTTGAATAGATGCACGTGGTAATGATTCAACATCAACAAATGCTGAACCAATACTAACAAATAATTTATTATTAACGGGTGATATAAGAATAGTTCGAGTTGTATGTCCACCTTGAGGATAATTCATTATAATTTCACCTGTACCGGTAATATTTCGACTTCCTGACGACCATAAATATCTTCGAGTTGCATCTTGATTACCAACATAGAAATACCCATTAGAAAAAAGCATACCATAGGGTGAATTAAGTCCATTAGATGCATCAGCAAATGTTAATCTTTGATCAGGGTAACCATCCTGATCAGTATCAACTAAACAAGATATTCGATTTGTATCTGGTTCACTAACAAGTATATCATTTGTTGGTGTATAAATAAGATAACGTGGCGATGAAAGCCCACTCATATATAATTTGGTTGTAAATCCAGCAGGAGTATAGAATAATGGATCTGATGGTACAGGAATGATTTGAGCAGTTTTAGTAACTGATAATGAAGTATTTGGTTGAGGAAGATCAGCAGTTGTAATATGAATAGATTGTGGAATAAAAGTAAGATTTGTACCATTTGTTTGATATATTAATAGTAAAACTAGAAGCAAAAGTAACGGTGTTAGAGTCGATAAAAACATTGTTTTTTGAAGTTTGCAGAATGTTTGGTGATGCCGTCTATTCGTTTGATTACTAACCTAATAGAGCAGTATTTATATACAAAAACTACCAACCAGAAGAATAAATACAATTATGTAACGCAAAAGATTCATAAGTTGTTTGCGATAATATTAAGTGCGACATAGTATTTCTTTTTTTTTTCGTTTAGTTTTTATCACTTCATAAACTCTTAGAGTATATTTATTGAATAAACGAGATTCACCTGGATAAACATATAATATACGTTTCGTACAAAACATCTATTCTGAATATAATTAAACATATTTTTATTCTATTAAAAAAATTCTATTATGCACGATTAACATAAACATATAAAATTTTATATACAATAAATTATCTGGTTAGTTATTTAATGATTTCGAGGAGCTCCACCACCAATACGACCATCACCATTCAGATCCATATGTGTTACTTGTTCAGCTTTACCAAGAAGACCTATAAATAAAATTTTAAAAAAATATATTTATATATTTATATGAATATTTAACATACCTGCTCCACCGCCTCCTCCAGTTTGACGTCCTCCAACAACTCCATCATGATTTAAATCCATGTGGGTAGCTTTTTCAATTTGTCCTGTAATACCACCACCTCCTCCAACATGACCACCTCCTCCGACATGACCATCTTTATTGATGTCCATACCTGTTTTCTGTTCAATTTTGTTTGTAACAAAGTCTATTGAAAATAAAATTAATGTTATTGAAATTAAAAGAAAAAAACTTACTCATGTTTTTTTTTATTGTGAATGAATTGATTGCTTGATAAAGAATTTTATAATGGTTAAGACAAAAAGAATATCGCTTCTCTTTTTATACACCAAATATATGCGACGCAAAAGAAAAGAAATCGAGCGCTTTCTTATGATTACTCAACGTTTTGCGTCGTATGTAACTATACACGTGTATGTTTAACGCTCAAACATAAAGACACACATTCTACATTACGTTTTTCTCACATAAAAGTATTGAATTCTGCACTTTTTTTTCTTCTTCCTATAGTAAATAAGGTGTATCACATGTATACATAAATATGTAGCCTTGAAAATATATAACATACTCGATGCTCCTAGTATATTTATAAATGTCCGCAGCGATTGAAAAAATAAATGAATTATACTGTTCTCATACATCAAATTTTTTTGATTATTTTCTGTAAAATTAAAGTCATATTTAATATAAAATGATGAGAAATATCAATGATGATTTTTTTTTCAAGAACATTCAAAATTATTTATTCTGATTATGGTCTTATATCGATTATTAAAATTTTATCTTTCAAAAACTCTGATGAATATTTAATTGATGTACAACAATATTAAAGTTATTGAATGTGGAAAGAAGATTGTCTTTACCGTACTTGAGGAACTTTTAAAAAATATTTATCGACGAAAATATTATAAGTTTTCAGGAGAAAACGATTTTTTTTTGGTATCAGAATAAGTATAGCGTTGTATTCTATTTCTCTAATGATGGAGTTCAACGACGCTCGCAACCGAAGAGAAATGCAAGTCTTTCGTCTATTTAATATTATTTCTAAAAATAAATGAAATAATATTTTAGAATAAAAACCAAAATAAAGAAAAGAACAGTTACCAACTGGTAAATTCTAAATCTAACTCACATAAATTGTATTCAAAAGTGACTAATGTAGTTTCTGAGCGTTTTCATCTTATCATTGTATCGGAAAAAAACATGCAAATATGATTAATTGCACATCTTCTGACATTTTAATATGAATGCAAATATCTTATGGCAATAGATGCCTCTGAAGCTTAGCGTTTAACTTATTTAATAAGAAATGAAGATAATTATATATAAAGACAAGTCAAATGACGAAAAACAACTCAAATGTCATCCTCTTCATTAACGCTCGTTCAACTTCAACTTTATCGTTATGGACTTCTCACAATCGTAATTTTTGGTAATATTGGAAACGTATTCATTATGTTTCTTTTCAAAAACCACTGGAAGAATCCATGTGCAATGTATCTGATGAGTGCAGCTGTGACAAATATACTTTTGCTTACATTCAACATTCCCATGGTACTCTACAGTTTTGATTATGGTGACCCAGCCTCAGACTCGATGGTACTATGCAAATTACGCCCGTATTTAAGTAATGTCTGGAGTCAAATGGGAAGATATTTTGTTGCACTAGCGTGCATCGATCGTTTGCGAACATTTAGTCGATTATCAACAGCACGATATCTTATTGTTATAATGACTATTGTTTGGTCTATTGCCGCTGGTCATTCACTAGTAATGACAACAATTATAGATGGACGTTGTGGCATGAATAAACTCTATTCCACTATTTACACTATTTATATATTGGTCTTTACGTCTTTGATTCCGCCTGTAACCATGACTATCTTTGGATATTTGACCTATCGAATTATGAAACAATTACGTACACGTATACAACCAATTCGAAATGATGATGTAAGTGGTCGTCAAAGTTTTGGCATTGCTAGTCGAGATCGACAATTATTGACAATGGTAATTACAGAAATCTTAGTATATGTCCGGTGATTTTGTTTGAAATGTTGATAACCAACTATATGAACATTAACAAAAGTCCTCAATATCTTGAAATTGAAAGTTTTATTTATACTATTGCAACACTTCTTGGCTTTGCGAACAATGCTGCACCTTTTTATATATATTATTTTGCATCGAGTACTTTTCGTCAAGATTTTAGCAAGTTCTTGAATTCATGTTGGTTTCGAATACCACGACAAAATTTGATAAATGTCGATCAGCCAAGAACACCAATTCAGATAAATGCTGAGACTCGTATTTAAATTAGTTTTGTTAGAAAAGTATTGCTTTACATAATTATAATAATTCATCGCAGAATATATATTACATATCAACGTCATTTGCTTAGAGTTGTGACTATTATATTAATATAATAAAATAATGAACACTTTGTATTGTTGACAAAAGAACTTCCAGAATATAATTATTTTGCTAAAGGTATTTTTTTACTTGATACTGTCATGGAAATCATTAATTGTAAATTTTATTACATGCCAGGATATTTTTTTTTGACCTTTTGAAAATACACCCATTTCCTTTTTTTTCTTCTTCTTATTCTTTTACAGTTAATTAAAGATAGAGATCGAGAGAGAACCATCTTGAGTGTGTGAGTGTGAGTCTGTGGCTAGATGTAGATCTTGAAGAAAGTATTCCTCTTCTTTACCCACCCACACCCTTTACATAAGCAATCTTTTTAGACAATTAGAGATCTTTCGTAATATAATCTTTTTAAACCATCAAACTATTCTTCACCATGCTTTTCATA